ATATAAAAATGGCATCCTTCTTTCAGCACACCTATATACAAAAATTAGGCCTATTTATATAGGTCCATTTCTGAATTCCCTATCAGATCTTATTTTTAATTCTTAGATATCTGCAAATCTTGTTCTCTCCCAAATCCAGTGCTATGTCCAAAGCTAGCTTAGCCTGTGTGTGTGTAACTGTTCTAATGTGTCTGTGAGTGCACGACTGTGGATGAGAGTGTGAATATGAACATGTGTGAACATGTGTGTCAGAACAGATTTGTGTGACTTGCACCAGTGAGTGTGTGTCTACCCCAAATCCCACATCCCCACACCCTTTCCCTAAGGAAACAGTAGCCTCTTCAGATACTGAGTGCCCTGGGAGCCCTCCCTGCCAAGAGCTGCTTCTCTGCCAACAGCATTTTTGGTCTCTCTTTTTACCTCTGCAAACCCCAGCCCAGGCCTGTAGAGCAGCCCCAGCAATGGTCCTAGCCCCCTGGGCAGGTAGGGCCTCAGAGCTGGCAGCTTGCCTCACCTGGATTCCCGTTAGGACAAATCTGCAGGAGCGACCGAGTTGCTCAGATTCCAGGCTCTAGGGGGCAGCAGAGGGCCATCTTCCCTGGAAGTCAGTAGGTGCTACAGAGGGGCCAACTCTGCGAGTTCAGGTGGCCCCAGGCTGGGCGGGGGGCTCTGTCCTTCTGACACCCTGAGACGCTTCTGTGAATAGACAGGCCACACTCCTACCAGGGCTGCTCAGGTCTAGGGACCTCAGACCCTGTCTCTGTCTGGGACTTGTTCCTGCCTGGTCTTTAGGGGAGTGACTTCATGTGTCTGAGCCTGGCTTTCCCCAGCACTGAGCAGGCTGACAAGGGTTTGCTGCACTGAGTGAGGCTATGCAAGAAGTTAGGGTGCAGTGCCCAACACAGAGGCACCCGGCAGGCCCAGCTCTGTGTCCTCTTTGCTTTGGTCTCCCTGTTTGCACCAGACCAGGCTCCCTGCTGTCCAATTCCAAAGACCTTTGCCATCCTTATCCCACTCCACCTTGGTACCATATTGTTAAAAATCTTTGATTTTTTTATTATTTACCTTGATTTGAACTAGATAGTTGCTTATAATATTGTTATGCTTTTTTTTGGACAATGTCTATCTTGCTCTGTCTCCCCAGCTGGAGTACAGAGGCATCATCCAGCTCACTGCAGCCTCCAACTCCTGGGCTCAAGCTTCCTCTGCCTCAGCCTCCTGAGTAGCTGGGACTACAAGTACGTGCCACCATACCTGGTTAATTTTTCTTTTCTTTTCTTTTTTTTTTTTGTAGAAATAGAGGTTTACCATGATGCCCAGGTTGGTCTAGAACTCCTGGGCTCAAGGGATCCTCCTGCCATGGCCTCCTAGAATGCTGGGATTATAGGCATGAGCCACCATGCCTGGCCAGCACCATATTTTTAAGGACATTTAAATAAAAGGTACATAGTTATGAAGCCACACTTGCTACCTTCCCCATATTTGTTACCCAAAGATCTGAATGCCCAGCACAGCTGTGTGCCAGGAGGGAGCTGAGTCCCAGCCTGAACTCTAAAGGATTTGGAAACAGGGACACTGGACTGCCCTTTTGTACCTTTCTGCAGTTTTGAATTTTTTGCATGTTGTAAGTTTTTCTAGTTTTTGTTTCTGCATTTTCTACAATAGGAACTAGCTAATTCTATAATCAGAGAAATAAGCATGCCACAAATTAATTTTAAAAGACTAGAAGGAAATTTAAAATATAAATAGTTGTTACCATGGAGGACCAAGATTTTCAGTGATATTTATATTCCTGATATTTTTTGTGTGTTTTCAAAATGTTCTACAATGAACATATATTATTTTTAAAATCAAGAGAAATGTCACACTTGTTCTAAAGATAAAAAGAAAGACTGGGAGCCTGGGAGGAAATGTGTATCTATATTTATGTGTGTGTATACATGTATTTATATCTCTAGACACACACATGGGATTTATCTTTGGTTGTGTAATTACAAGTAATAGGTGTTTTTAACGTCTGTTTTTCTTACGATTCCAAATTAACTAAATCAATATAATTAGAGGTTTTTAAAAATCCTATTACCGCCCACCAGAATGAGTAAATCTTACACCACAGCCCAGCAAACACACACAGCACACAACGCGTGAAGCCACATGGACCTCTGACTCTGCTTGGCGCACGCTGACATTCTCCCCTACATCCGAGTCTGCTTTCTGCGGCATCTTCCTTACTATTAGATGTTCTGATCCCAGGAAGCAGATTTCTGTCCCACCCTCACCTCCTGCTATCTGGAGCAGACTGCTCCCCACAGAGACACCCAAAGCTGCTTGTAGGTAGAGGGAACAGCCCTCCATGCCCATCCTCTCTGCCCACCCTGCAGACAGTGCCCACTCGCCTGCTCTTGCCGCACAATGAACAGGACATCCTCTGCAGGTCGCACGGCCACTGCATCACCGAGGATGCTGATCTGCAGGCCCCGGGGTGGCGTGAGGGGGCACTGGAGCTGAACTGAGTTCTGCTGCAGGTCCACACCACCCTTGCACATGTTGGAAACTGCCTTCCGATACCTGGGGAGTTTGAAAGAAAATACACCTCTCTAAGGGCTGCCCACTCTCAGCACATACCCTGTGCAGATGATATGAAATGAACTCCACTGGCCTTGATATAGGTTCTGGCTCTGACACCTCAGACCTGAGTCCCTGCTTGCCAAGCTCTGGAGGGTGTTCAGGAGAGGCCATTGAGATGGATAAATAGATACACAGATGAATGGATGGATGGATGGATACATGTGTGGATAGATACATAGATAAATAGATGGATGGATGGGTGGATAGAAGGATAGATGGGTGGATGGATGAATGAATGGGAAGATGTGTGGATAGATAAATGGATGGATAGATGGATGAATGGATAGATGGATGATGGTAGATACACAGATGATGGTGGATAGATGGATTGAAGATGGATGGATGGATAATAGACAGGTTGAAGGTGGATGAATGGATAGATGGGTATATGGATGAATGAATGATGAATGGATCAGTGGATGGATAAATGGATGAATGAATAGATGATGAACAGTGGGTGGATGAAAAGTTGGCTGAATGGATAGATAGATAGATATCTGGGTGATAGATGAATGACTGGATGGATGGGTGGGTGGATAGATGGCAGGATATATACTGCTGAGGTCAAAGCCTACAATTTTGGGGCCTGATTCCTGTTTCTTCAGGTTCCCAGGAAAAGTAATGGGGATTTTTGAATAAGCTCATGGGCTTTTCCCTTCTTCCCTGAAAACTTCTGCACAGAGAAATGGGGAAATTGGGACATGCAGATGGAGCATGTTTGGGACCTCCTGAAGCTGAGGTTCATGGTCCTTACATATCTAACATTTTTATACCATGGGTCATTATGAAAATTTTGAGATACACAGAAACCAAGAAATGTAAAATCTGCATGGACAGCACAGCACCATTAAGCCCAGCAAGTTGAAACCTGCACAGTGATGAGAAAGGACTCTGGATTGTGTCTCTTGGAAGTGAAATAGTGGATCATAACACTATCTGTCTCACCCCAGCACACGGTGGAGGAAGTGTTGTGATTGTTCACGCCTATGAGCACTGTCCCCTAGGGCATGGCTTGTATTCATCACCCCTCAGACAGAAGAAACACCTACCATAGGTCATGGTGCTTACAGTCCAGCAGGGAGGGCGGTTAGGTGAGTGACGACACTAACTAGATTTTATGCTATGACAGAGTAAGCTTGGGGGTCAGGGTGGGCACTCAGGGAGGGTTTCCTGAAAGAAACGCCATTTAAGGTGAGACCTACAGGGAGCATAAGCACTTCCAGCACCCAACTATGGGCCCAGCTCACTGAGTGCTGGTACATGGGGCAGGGTCCTGGCACTGCAGTGGCTCAGGAGAGGGGAGTGTATGCTTCTCCAGGTGGGCTTAGCTCTGCTGCAGGTTTGGGTCATGGGACACCTTAGACCTTTTCAGAGCCAATTCAAGCTACTTTTCCCCTGATGCTGGCTCACATGGGCACAGATGGCAGAGCCCTGTGGGCTTCTCTGCTGTGAGAGCCAAGTTTGTTCACTGGGGCCTATAGTAGGACACGTGAGGCCTGTGGCCAGATTTTGTGTCTTGAGCACAAGACACACTCAGTCTGACTTGTTTTTCCCTGACTCCCCTCAGGAGCAGCAGGTGGCAGCCAGAAGTGCAGTTTGGGGTCCACTACAGCTCTGCCCTAGATTCAGGCAAGGAGAGGCCCCCACCCCACACTCACCCCAGACTGCTGGTGTAGGTCTGGCCCAAGGCACAGTCGTCAGGTGGGGACAATGGGTTAAACCAGAAGTTAGCAGAGCACTTGTTGGCTTCAGACTCTGAGGAAGGGGAGCGCTCAAATCCGTAGTCACTGGCAGGAGGAGAGGACCGTGGTTAGGTGAGGAGCAGAGCCAGCCAGCATGGGAGTGAAGTCGGGGGGTGGGGGCTGTGAAGGAAACTGCACACCAAGGGCCTGCCATGTACCTGTCTGGGGGACCCAGAGAAAACTCAACACCCTGTTTCAGACGGGGAGACAGGCCTGAAACCTGACAGCCACGTTCCAAAGGGACAAAGGGATGCTGGGAACTTGGAGGAACCTCTAGGGCTTCCAGGAGGAGCTCAGAAAAATCTCAAAGGATGAGCAGAGAGAGGCAGGGGAAGGGAGGGAGAGGAGCTGTGGGCAGAGACCGGCCTGGTCAGTGCTGGTGCAGGGAGGAACAGGCTGAGGTGGCAGAATGTCAGAGCAGGACAGAGGGGTGGGTTAGGGAGGCAAGGCGGGTGGGCCAGCGGCCTTGTGAGCCTCATTGTCCTGTGGGCACTAGGTAGCCACAGGTGGCTTTTGAGGAAAGCAGGGGACAGATTAGGAATGGCAGTAGAGCACCTGGCTGCAGAAGGGCTGGGCTGGGCACACCTCGCCCCCAGCATGCCCGGGGCTGTCCTCACATTCTCCTCCCCTTCTGAGCAGGCCATTGTGGCAGTGGCAGTTTTAAAAATATGTCAAATGCTTGTAAACTTGAGGACTTAGCAACTTGGTTCTAGAAGAATAAAGTGGAAGTGATGGTGGGTGGCTCTGAGCCCAGGTTGACAGGAACTGCGTCCTCCCTTGCCCTGGGGAAGCGGCTGCCATGTTGTGGGGAGGTTTAAGTAGCCCCGTGAGGCCTTGCAGCGAGGAGCTGAGTGCTCACCAGAGGAAGTCAGAGTCCCGGCACTCACACACACGGGACGTGAGCGCTGATGTGAAGCTCTTCCCCTTGATGCACCAGGACATGGGCTTTCTTTTCCGGAAGCTTCTCTGCTGGCCCATGATGCAGTGGTCGCCCTGCAGCAGGAATGTCAGAATGAGGCCTTGGCATGAGAAGGGTTGACTGCTCTCTCTACATTGGCTTATACTGCTGATCTGCTTATCCAGAAAATGCCTCAAGCTGCAGTTGGGGCAGATGGGGAAACTGAGGCCCAGAAGGGGAAGTGGCATATTTGAGGTCAAGCTGAGGTCTCCTTCCTATCCCAACCCACAAACCTTCTGTGTATAGCTCTGGCTGGGCCCCAAGGGGTCACACAGTAACTGGGAATGAAGACCCAGTTAAGTGCCCCAATGCACCCTCCTCAGGCCCTGAGGGCACAGCCCCTGTGCAAGGGATGGAGACAAGCTCACGGGCACACAGTAGGTCCTCAGGGGAGAATCAGAACAGGTTCCACCCCTGTCCCTGCAACAGTTGCCCTAGTGGTAACAGGTGCCATGCCTGGTGTGGCTGAGCTTGAGCCAGACTCCTGAATCTTCCAGGCCTGTCTGTGTACTTGCTTGTAAAATTCAGTTTTAGTTACAAGCCCCACCCAGCCGGCTTGGTGAGCACCTGATCTCCATATCTGACTGGGGTCCTCATCCCGACCCCCAGGTGCTATCCGGACAGCCTGGCCTACCTGTGCCAAGGATCTCGTGAGTTCAGCTTTTCCCTAATCCCCCTCGCCGCAGATGCTTCCTTGCAGGGACTTCCCATCCCGACCCCACCCTGCTCCTTAGCTAGCAATTCTCTCTTGAGATTGAGTTGAGCCCAATCTTTCCCCCCACTGCAGTGGTCCCTATACCCATACTGTGCTTTAACAAGTGCCATTGAACCATTCTTTCTTTGACAGCCCCCCAGCCCCATCACAGCCCAGCTCGAGCTGAAGAGAGGTCTTTAGGAGCCTTATTCAGTCCTCATCAGAAGGTGGGGGCGATTCTATGAGGACTTTTTGGAGGAGGAGAGATTACCCTGGCCTGGCAGGGGAAATGTAGCAGGCAGAAGTGGGCCCACACTTGTGCCCTGCCTGCCTTGTCCCTGCCACCTCCCGGCTCCCACCTGGAGGTTGGTGAGGTCCCAGGAGCTGTAGTCTTCCTCACTGCACTGCCTGGAGAATGCGGGCCGAAAGTCCACCTTGACAAGCTCCCAGTCCGAGCGGAAGCTGATGTGCCCAAAGACGCTGTGGAGGGGTGAATGGAGAAGGAGAGAGAAAGCCAGCTTGGTTTGGCCCAGCCAGCTGTGCAAGCCACCTTCCCTCCAAACTCGCCATGGGCACAGGGACACCCTGCCTGTCCTTGCTGGAAGGATGTTGCTGGGCACTGCGGCGCTGGCAGGCCTTGGCGGTAGTGATCTCTGGCTTGTCAATTACAGTGGTGTGGCTCATCCATCTGATCCCATTTGCCTACTCCTTGAGGGATGGGGAACAGGCCCAATAGCCAGGTTGGGAGCCCTGGCCTCCTAGCCACCACCAGGGACCCTTCCCCACTCCACATGCTTATCCTTGCATTATGTTTTGCAGAATGATTTGTGGTCAGGCTGAGCCTGGTGCCCTTCAGCCTGACCATGTGTGGGTTTTGTGCCACAGAAACCCAGCTCCCTATTGTTGGGCCCCTGGGCACTCACTCCCAAACAGAACTGGCCTTCCAAAGGGACAAGGAGTCATCTGGCTCAGCTTGGAGTACACAAGTGAGGGTGCCATATCTCAACCTGTTGCTCCCAGCTGTGGTGGGTGGGGGAAGCAGTGGAGGGAGACCAGGGAGGCAGCCATCTGGAGAGCCCAGCGGCATGCAGGAAGCAAGCTACCCATGACCCTGTGGGGCGAGTCCACCCCATGCTACAGACAGGAAAGCCAGGGCAAGGTTGAGTAAGTTGCAGAAGCTCACGTGGTTCATGCTGTTTCTTCGCCCCTCCTTGGTGGTCAGCAGTCATTTGCTGAGTATACCCAGATCTTTCCCCTTCAGTGAGGGCCACCATCTGAGGGATTCCACTTAATCCCCTGAACCTCATGCTTGGGGCTCTGCCCCAAAGAGGGGCCCAACCTGATCCTCCCTGGTCATTCTCCAGTCCAGCTTGCAGGGCTCCAGCCATATTATCAGAGGTCAAGCATCTGCTTGGGGGAGGTGATAGATCTGCTCTGGTCTTGGTCTCTGAGTACCTCCAACAGGGGCTGGATCCTTGGGGTGGCCAATCATGATCTGAGTGCACTCAACTCCTATTCTGGGGTGGTGTTGAGAAAGATCTTGAAATTTACTCTTGGGGATGTGACGGCTGCACTGGAATGTCTGAGGTTTGGTTCCATAAGCCACCCCTGGTCAGAGAGGCCTTGGAACCCTGTTTACTTTATCTGTGACCTTGGGCAAGTCTATCTCCCTCTGGAAGGCAGCTATGCTAACCGCTATACCACCAATGCCCTCTATAACTCCCTCTGTACCTCAGTTTCCTTGGCTTTAATACAGGGACAGTAACATTAGCCTTTTAGGATTGAGGTTGGACTAGTGATGTTCTGGGCAGGGAGCTTCACACACGCACACACGACACATGTATACACACACATGCACATTACTCCACTCCCCAGAACCATCTCACAAGGTAGAAAGGGTTATTCTTATTTCATAAATCAAACCCCAAGCCTCTGAAGGGTGGGGCTGGGCCTCCCACTGTGGCCCCCACTGCCCTGTCCTGACGTAGGTGGGCTCTGGGCAGGTGCAGCTGGGCCGCATCCACTGCACGTCCTCATGCTCACATTCCTGCCCTATCATTGCTGGCCCTCAGTCCATCCAGCTACCCTTGTTTCAGAGTTGCCAGTCCAGGTGGCTTTTCTCCTCCCTTTGGGAGTCAGAGGCCTATGTGGTCTCTCTGTCAGAGCAGCAAGGAAGGGGGTGTGAGCATCAGACTGGGAATGCTCCCAGTGGCTGGTGACCACAGCCCACCAAGGACAGGGAGATGTCCCCGTGACCTGGCCTCTACTCTGCCTTATCCAGCTGCCCTTGCAGGCACCATTTCCAGCAGGGGAATCTGTGGGCCTGGGGGTGGCCCTGGCCCCAAAGCGCCTGCCATTCAGATGGGTGCCTGCATGCACAGCCTTCCCTGTTGGACACTCCCTGTTGGCTACGGAGTGGCCCCAGCTTGGGCAGAGAAGGGCACTGGCCTGGTTCACTAGTTAACCTCTTCCATGTCTCCAAAGTCCTGCCTTGTACAGAACCTACACCCTGGGCTGGGGCCGTGAGAAACCTCTGTCATCTAGTTAATTCTCAGTCTTCTTTAGGGAAGAAGGCTTCAAAGGGAGCCTATCTATTACTTTGCAGTTAATAAGGAAAAAATGGGCTGAGCTGTGGGGGCTGGGTCAGGAATCTGCTGCTCTTAAACAGCCACTCCTGTGTGGGGCAGGGTGAGTTCCTGGGCCCCCACCCCATGACTGAGCCAGTGGGGGAGGCAGGGAGGCCATCGGCCATGGGCCACAGCCAGCGGTGCCGAGGGAAGCAGGGGCAGGAGGCGGGGGCAGCTCCTACACAGGCCTGCAAAGGTGTGGCCTGTCCCCCTCCCCTTTTGACATCCGAATTCTTTCTAGGTCAACTTAACTCTGAAGACTGTTTGAAGATGCAACACTCCAGGAACTGTTCTGATGCTTTTCAAAAAAACTTAAAAGGTTGGAGCACCTGGCTGTGAATTCTGCCATTATCCTTCTGGGGGTAAAATCGCTCGTCTGTGGGGCCTGATGAAAGCTGGGCTATCATTGGACCAAAGCCAGTTCTGCCTGGTGACGGTCGGGATGAAGGCTGATGTCCTGCCAAGATGCTCCTGTTCACTGCTCTGGGGTAGAAGGCTCCCATCTAGACGGGGCAAAAGGGCTGGGGCCACCTTCACAGGCAGTTGTCACTGTCCCCTCCACTCTTTGGCTCTAGATTCAGAAAACAGCTTAGCTACTCCAGGTGGAGCCCACCCACTGCACTCCAAACGTCACACAGCCGGGCCACTGAGGCCAACCACTTCTTCCCTCAACACCACTCTGGAAAAACACCCAGCAGAGCTTCCAGCAGCTTCCCCCAAAGGAGAGGCCATCTGCTCCTGTCCCACACCACAGCCTCCAGCAGCTGGAAGGGAGAGTGACCGCCTAAAGTTAGGAATGATTTAACACACCAGGGCCAGAGCAGAGCAGGGTTGAGCGTCAGGGAAACTGCATAGCACAGGGCACTTGGAGACCAAGAAGGGGGATTATTTCCCCACTTGGCTTTTATAAGACAGGATTCCTGTCCCTGCCCTAGATCCTCGGCTGGGCCCCTTCCCACCCCTCCCTCAGATCAAAGATCTTGGAGAGATCTTAGCACTTCCAGAAATAGGGACGCAAGTCATTCCGTAGAAGTTTCTTATGAGAACGAGATGAGATGATACAGGAAGACAGCCCCACAACACGCAGGAGGTGGCCAGCAAAGCCTCATCCTGGCCCTGATCACAACGGGTCACTTCCCTCCTCACACAAAGACACAGACAGGCTGGGAGGGAAGGACAGAGGGGAGGGAAGTGCCCAGCTAGGGACAGTCAGTCTTTGGACTGGAGGACGGTAGGGGCACACTGCCCCATTGGGCACCATTGAGAGCACAAACACATGGTTACCCGTCTGGAGGCAGATGAGACCGACCTGCACCTCCAGGGTGAGCGGGACGCATGGTTAGAGCAGTGAGGGACCCTCGACTTCTTGAGAAGAATGTACCCTCTGCCCGGGTTTCCTGGAGGGAAGCAGAGCATCCGCCTGCAGCCCCACGCAGCAGGAGGAGGTGACCCCTCTTCTAGGCGGGAGTCTAACCGGGCTGCTCCTGCTGGTCACCCAGGAAGCAGGACGCGCAGGGGCATCACAGGGGAGCAAGTGTCCTGGGCTCATCCTGGTGACCTGGCAGTGGGGTTTACAGTCTCTGTGTGACAGACAAGGAGGCTGAAGCTTCAGGTAAGAGAGAGGATATATCATTTCCAGAGCACTGACACTCCGCTCTTCCTGGAGGCCTCCCGTAACTCTTCATACCTGCTAATTTCTACATTGTATAGATGTGGACTGGACTCCTCCTCAGCCTTGTTCTCAGGGTGGCTGGTTCTGTGGGGGTTACCCAGCCCCATCACTCACCAGCCAGGACCCCCCTTGGCCACTCCTGAGTATGAAGTCTACTCCGATGTCCACCCTCTGCCTGGGCCAGTCCTCACTTGCGCATCTCCCATGTCTGTTCAAACCATGTGGAGCCAGCACCCATCTCATGCCACTTCTCACACAGGAGAAGTGAGCAGGGAAGGCCCCAGGCACGCCACAGGCGCCAGCATCTCGCGGTGCCCGAGAGCCCACCAGACGGGGATGAGGCCCATGGCAGGTGTGGTGGGGAGCGCCAGTGCTGCTGGCAGGAAGGCCTTTCTGGGGATGGGTCTGAGAAATTCAGTAGAAATTCAGTTGTCTTGAGCATCCTGAGGGCAGTCCACACTCAGCGATCCCACGTCCTTCTGTCCTACTGGACTTCGAGTCCCCTGCTGCTCATGCTGGCTCGGCTGCAACTGCTCTCCTGATGTCCCTAGAGGCCTCTTGCTGCCAAGCCCAACATCCAGGCCCAGACTCCTGGCCAGGAGCTAGGGACAGGCTGGTTCTCCAAGAGTGAGGCCAAGTCCCCACAGCCAGGGCTGGAGAGTGCCCTGTGCCCACGTGCTCCCAGCATGCCAGACAGCACCTGGCACATGCTGGGCACCTGACGCATGCACCTGGGACAACGGGCAGGGCAGGGCACACCCTTGAAAGGGCCCACATCTTTGCTTTGCCTGGACTCCACAGAGCCAGCCTCGGGGGTGCCCGTCAGAGCTGGACTCAGCCACACCCCAGTCCTATGACCTTGGCCAGGGCTCCCCTTCTTAGAGCTGTGCTTTTCTCAGTTGACAAACAGAGGAGCTGGCTGAGGAGAGGATGGGAACAACTGTGAAAGTGGCAGAGTCTATGGTGGCGGGTATTCCAAAGCTGAGCTCCCAAGCCTGGCCCCAGTCCCAGCAGTGGGGATTTCAGGGGTCATGTTCATCTAGGCTCTTCCATGAACAAGGGGACACACTGGCAGAGAGCCGGTGGGGCGGGGCCTGTTGTTCCAGGAGGGATAGAGCAGAGGACAAGCTGTCTGAAGTCCAGGCATCCAGGTCCACCCTCCTCACCCGGCCCTGAGTTGAGCATAAGTGGAGGGAAGAGTCAGGGCCGGTGCTGGAGTTTCCTAGGGCTGCTGAGACAGACGACCGTCACTGGTGGGTTAGGACACAGCATGCGTGTCTCCTGAAGCTCTGCAGGCTACAAGCCCTACACTGAGGGTCCAGGCCCGTGCTGCTCCCTCTGGGGTTCTGGGGATCCTCCCTGCCTCTTCCAGCCCCGGTGCTCCTCGGCTCCAGCCCCGGTGCTCCTCGACTCTGTCTTCACACAATCATCCCCCCATGTCTGTGTCACTGTGTCTCCTCTCCTTAGAAAGACATCATCCCTTGGTTAGGGCGTACCCTGCTCCCTAGACCTCATCTTAAATCCATGACCTCTGCAAAGGCCCTGTTTCCAGAAGAGGTCCCACCTGTAGGTTCCAGGCAGACATGAATCTGGTGGGCTCCATTCAAACTGCCACAGGCGTTGTTGATAGAGGCAGGGCACTCAGGAACCCTGCAAGCTGCACATCGTGGGACTGCTATGGCAGCATCATGAGTCCCAAATGCAGAGGCTCAGGCCTTGTCAGCCTGTGGTCAGCTCTGCCTTTGACCATGCAGGAGGAAGTCGCCCAGCCAGGTGTGATTCTGGGGGAGCACCTTCTCTCTCCCAGTGTGGCCACAGGGCTATGGGCAAACCTCATGGGTAGGTGTCATCACCCATGATGGGCCAGGGTGGCTCTGAGCAGCAGGGATTTCCAAAGCCCCTTCATTCTCCTGGTGCCTCCTGTGGCATTTGACCCATGGTGGGGCTGGACACACATGGACAGGCTGGGGATAGAAGCTGGGCCAGTGCTGTAGCCTCAGACCCCAGGCCAGGGTGCCAGGCAGGGCATGGCCAGTTCTGTGCTGTGCTGGCCTGCCTAGGTCTCAGGCCCTCTTCTGTGCATGTGGCTAAGAAAAGTGCCAGTAGATAATAATACTAATAAGACTGATCAACCAGAGAGGGGCAACAGAGTCACGATGGCGGTTGAGAGTGGCTGTGAGCCTTGGCAGGTGGTGGAGATCCCTGAATGGGAACACAGTGTCCACCTCCCCAGTGGCTGGGATGTGAGGAGGCAGTGGGCAATAAGAGCCTGCCTCCCCTGAGTGGGCGCATGTGTGAAGACAGAAGTGGGGCCTGTGTCTGCACCCACTCGGCAGCAGCAAAGGCCTGTGGGGGCCCCAGCCGTGCCTTCCTGGGCTGCGTTCTGACCTGCCACCCGCCCTAGCCCCCAGCACTTACGTCATGACCAGAGTCTCGTCCCCTGGCTCACTCAGCAGCCCATCCACAAACACTGAGGTGCTGGTGAAGTTGTGGGTGCTCCACGTGAGGCCCTCGTCCAGGCTGAACCTGCGAGAGGAGGTGCCCAGGGTGGGTGTGAGTGCTCCTGTGTCAAGTCCTCTCTGCCCACTGAGTACAGCGTCTTCCACTGCCCTCCCTCTGTCTCCTGCACCAGCCCAGCATCTGGGTTACAGCCAGACCCCCAACCTCGCCTTCTCGGTCAGGGGCTGCAGCAGCCACCTCGCCAGTGCTAGGAGATATCGGCACCTGCTTAGCAACACCAGGCCTCTTGCTGAGGCATACTCAGGCATAACTGAGTATGTCATCTCAGTATCTCAGAGACACTTTGTATTCCCTGGATGGGCCCACACAAGCCCTGAGTCCAGTTCAGCATGTGCCAGGCCAATGATGGGACCAGTATTGCTCTTTTTCAGACTAAAGTGATTCTGGCTTCCTGGCAGCTGCTCCAGCTCTGCCTTCCAGTCCCAAGTTCATACTTACCCTCAGTTCCCCATAAGGGCTTTCAGACATCTAGTGCCATTGTCAACCCCACTTTTAGCCAGGCACAGGCTGCTGGCTTCTGGGTGACCTGGCCCAAGGTCCTCCATGTAACTAATTCCTATTGATGCTTAAAAGTCCCTCCTCTGGGGAGTCCCCACTGCTTCCCACCTCCTCTTAGCCCATAGCCCCAAGCCTCCCTCTGTCTTACTGGACCATCCCATTAGCTTATCTCCTGGGGGCAGGACAAAGTCCACCTGTAGGACCCCTCAGGAGGGTCTGTGAGGCATGTTGCTATCCCTGTTGCTAGGGTTGTCCTGTGGCCCCATGGAGAGGCCACTCTGGGCAATATTCTGAGAGGACTTCTAGACACAAAAATGACACACACACGCATGCAAATGACCCCTGAACCCTGCCACGCCCCCCATGACATTACTTGAGGATCTTCAAGGGGATGGAAGTGTCTTTAATGGCCACGATCACACCGCCATGGTCCAGGTAAAGGATGTGATGCTCCTCCTCGAACACCTGCAGGAGAGAGTGGGCGGCACTCTGAGGGCAGCAGCCTGGAGGCCTGTCTCGGTGAAGGTCACTCCTGGGGAGCAGAGTCATCAACATAGAGGCCATGTCCTGAGGCTAGGGCTGTCTGAGGGTCCCCATACCCCCCGGGCCATCCCTGAGCTTTTCCACCCTACATGGGCTCTACAACAGGGCACAACAAGGACAGAGGATGATTTCTAGATCACTGATGGGAGGGAGAAAATCCCAAATGAACACTGCATGTGAAAACTCAAGCAGACATGCTAGCATCGAGAGGGCAAGAAAGAAACAATGGAATTTAGAGAACATTTAAGATAAACATCATAGTAAGAGCAAACTTCAATGTGACATGAAGACAGCCTGAGTATCATCTCCTCCAGGAAGCCCTCCTTGATGCCAGCCTGGGCAGGGAGCTGCTTCTGCCGGCTGCCCCAATACATCCGACCTAATCTGTCATTGTCCCCTCCAGCCAGGAAGCTACTCAAGGCAGTAGCTGGGCAGCATCCTCTCTGTGCCCAGCATAGCTTAGCTTAGCCCAGGAGTCTGTATGGAATGAATAAGTGAATGAATGATTGAATGACCACGAAGTCATAAGGTTAGAAAGGCTGACCAGCCTGGATAGAGCTCACAAGAGCAGATACTGTGGGAGATGTCACTAGTTTGCAGACACCCTGGGTGTGGCCCCACTTTACAGATGAGGAAGCTGAGGTGGGAGTGGTGATGCTGTGCCAAAGCCTCACAGCTGGTGAGGGGCAGAGCCAGTGTGGCTCCTATGTCACACCATGAACATGCATGTGCAGGCGGTGAGCACATGTTTCCAGTACTGCCTAGCAAGAGGCAATGCTGTCTCCACATCACCCTCACCCTGCGCCTCCCGTCCCTGGACACAGTCTCCTTCACCCTCCCACCCTCGTCTAATCAGAGCCCAGGCCTGTTGTCCTGCAGCAGGGACACAGGAAAGCCCAAAAGGAGATGGATGAGAGCCACCTGGTCTCCTCTCCTGCCAGCCCCTCCCCAGGGCCAATCACTCAAAGTCTCAGAAGACCTTTGCAGAAAGGGCCTGGCGGAGCCTTCTGGTAGGCAGTGAGGACTGTGGGCATGTCCACCTGAGATGGCTCCTGAGCTCAGGGAGGGCAGGGGCTACAGAGCTTCCGAGCCAGGGACACATTTGGTGCCAGGTGAGGTAAGAATAAATAAATGGGCTCAGCTGGCTGCTTCCCCAGATGCAGGACTGACCAGGCTGCACTTTCCTACAGGGTGAGCCAGGAAAGGTCCCAGGCTCCAGGGAGATGGCTCTGGGACAGCTGGGAACGCTAATGAGGAAACTGTAAAGACAGCTATCAGATGGCATCCTCTCTCTGCCCCTCCATTTTGAGGCTATCTTTGTTTGAATGTTGGATTTTCCAGGAGCCAGCCCAAGGCACTGGAGAGGACATGAAGCAGAGGCCCCATTCGACACATCAAACCTCAACAGAGCTGGGCGGGTGTCTCCAGCCAAGCCCTCAGCCCTGCTGTCTGGTCTGGCAGGTCTGATCACCTGCATGCCCTTCAATGCCATCGGAAATGTCCAATGCCCCCTCCACCCTTGGCCCTTAAAATCAAGTCCAAATCCTCCCATGGCCTCAGGGCCCCATAGGAGGAGCTGCCTCTGCCCCACCAGGCACTCTGGTCTCCTTTCCCTGAGCACACCTCAGGCCCTTTGCACATGCTGTTCCCCTGCCTGCAGAGCTCCGCCTCAGGTATTCGACCTACTATCAGCCTTGCCGGCATTTCCCTCTGCTCAAAGGAATTCTTTAGGACACACTTCTGGCTTGAGTAAAGAAGAAAAGCCCCTTATGAAAAATGGCTGAGAGTGAGCCTGTGTGTCCCAGAGCCCTCCTTCCTCCCCTCCCTCACTCCCTTCCTGTTTAGAGTGGGAGGATGTCAGGTCAGGCAAATGTCAGAGAGAGGGATCACCAATACCAGTCATAACTGAGCCGCTCCCTGCTGAGAGACCCCCAGGACCCAGGTGGGCACCTTGCATGTGTGCAGTGGGCCAGGTGAGGGTCGGCTCCAGATGCCCTGCAGAAATGTGGGTCAGTGTTGCTCAGAAGGGACTTGGATATATGTGAGCTAAACACAGGAGGGGGGATGGGAGAGGGGATGGGTAGGGAGGGCAGAGGGGCCAGCAGACAGCTGTTGTGACACACCCATGGCCCCTCCTGCCCTGAGGTTATCTCCCCATTTTCCAGAGATAGGCTGAGGGTCAGAGACACATGGTGACTAGCCTGAGGCTACACAGCTGATAATGGCCCCAGCCCCAGCCTGCTGCCCCCTCAAGCAGGGGACATTCATGGGAGGAGGACTGAGTCTCCTGAATGATGAGGTGGCAGGCTGCAGAGGGGCTCCAAGCTTGAATGTGGGTGTTCCTCAGATGCAACCACCTCAAAGCAGGTGTCCCCCACCATACACAGTCCACAGCCCTGTCTGTGTGGGGGCAGAGGGATCAAGGGGTCCAGAATCCTTTGGCCTAACCAGGAGCTCAGGAAAGGGTTGCCATCAGCATACTAAGGCCACACTGATGGCGTGTCCTGGACAAGGGAGGTGACAGCCTATAGCTTTTAGAGGGTTAGAAGTGCAGAGTTTAGGGTGTGAGGAGCCAGCCCAAGGCACTGGAGAGGACACGAAGCAGAGGCCCCCATTCTTCCCACAGTGGAGGAAGAATGTTCTATAATTCTCCCCATCCATCCACTCATCCAGAAAACCTGGTATTCCAGGCCCTGTCTATTGGGAGTGCTGGGACAGACTCAGGTCTAGACACAGGCCTAGCCCTTAGGAATTCACAGCCTGGGAACAGGGACAGATCCCAGGGAGGCAGATGGCCCCCACACAGCAACTCACCCACTGGGAACCAGTAACTAGAGAGCAGGGGCCCATGGTCTCTGTCCTTGGGGCCCTGTGTTCAGCTTGGGTTCTGTCACAGTGCAGGAGCCCAGCCAATGTTTGGAGAACAAATGATGTGGTAGTTCAAGGAAACTCCAGACTCAGTTAGTAGGCAGCCAGGGAGGCGTTCTCAGGATAGGACGAGCCTGGTGACTCTTGGGAGGGCAAACACATTACAGGTGTGGACAGGGGGCAGCAGGTGCAAAGCCTGGAGGCCAGAGAGAACAGGTGGGTCCAGGAAACAGAAGGTGACCCTCAGGTCAGCCAGGCCACTTGGAGACCTGTGTGATGCCCAAGGCTTACTGAGAGAGACAAGAATATGCTCTTTTTGGAGACAGTCCTCTGGTGCTGGGAGAGATGGGGTAGAGGGGTTAGAGGCCCTTTGGAGGCTCCTGGGACGATTCAGGAGGGAAATGATTTTGACAGGGGCTACTCTTCTGGGAAATTGCAAGCTCCTTGTCTAGGAATACTCCAGGGAAGCTAGGCTCCCTCTCTAAGAGGGACACGGGACACGGTGGCCAATATTGGGCTGGGTCCTGTGAAGCTGTCGGGAAAGTGCGGGAAGCAGAGCAGACCTGCCCCCACCAGTGCCGATTCTCTACCCTTTAAGCCAGATTTGGGGGCTAATCTGTTGCTTGGGGTCTCTGAGGTGCTGAACCCCAGGTGTAGTGAAGAGAAAGTGGATTCCCAGAGCCTGAGTGTTTTGGAGTTTCCCCCAGGGTCACACTGGCACGTGTACAACCAGGCTCCATGCTGGGACACTCAGAGAGTCCCTGCCACCTCCCTCCCACCTGCAAAGGCAGGAGGCTGTGGGCCCGGACTGCCAAGGAAGGCTGCCGGGGTGCCTCGGCCCACCCTGGGGGTCCCAGAAGAATCAGCATCTGCTCTCATTGGCTGGGGACTCTGGAAAAAGTGGGCTTCAGGGCTTTCCATCTGCACCGGTGGGTCTGCAGGACTCAGACTCCCACAAACTCCCATTGCTGTGCTCTTCCGTGTCCTGGTTGACCCCCACCACGCCTACAGTCCCACTCCCATTTCACCATCTCCTGCCTTCTCACATGCTGAGCTCCAGCCAGGGACTCCTGGCATGTTTTCTGGCTTTAAAAAATCATCACCCCAGGGAGCTCATGTTTTTAAAAGGTTATGTTGATTAAACAAGACACCCTCTGTCACTGGTGATCCCTACTGAGTTCTACTCCCAGACATCTCATATGCATGCCTGGCAATCTGGCCAGGAGGGCGAAGCCAGGGAGAGAGACCACACACAGCCCTCATCTCGCCTCTGTGCCTTTGTCCCTGTCTGATCTGTCCTCCACCTGTGCCCTCTGACCCTCCCCAGCCAACCACCAATAAACTCCCAAACCCAGCAGAACACCCCTCTCCCTGCACACACCCTGCCGAGGCCCAGCCCTAGCTCAGCGCTAACATGCCCAAGTTTGAAAACTAAGCAAATTCCTTGGCAAAAGTGACCTCGATGAATGCCTCACAGTCAGTTTCTATAAAATTAGAAAACCTCTTCTATGTCACCCCTGTCCGTTTAATCCAGTAAGGGGAGGACTTCTCTAATCATTGGACAGATGGTGACCTTTAAGAAACTTTAGACATGTTTCACTAGTTTTTGTGAAATAGAAATATTAAAATATAACAAATCTCTTTTGCCCTTTTCAAAATTCCTTGTTTCTTGCATATTTTTAAAAAAATGTCAAGGCCTTACGCTAGGTCCACAGGTGAGCTTCCTGTGTGATTAACATATCTGTCCGGGTCGCCTGGGAGAGGGGCTGTTCCGGGGGTACTCAGGTGTCTAGTAATAAAAAACCAACCTGAAAACAGGTTCTTGTCTGGAAAGGGAGGTGCACAGGAAAGTGTAGGTCATATTCTTAAACATTTAAAGAAGAAAAGGAGAGCTTGTCACTCTGTCTTCTGTCCTTCCCCCGCAGGAATGAGACACAGTGGCACTGTGGAGTGAGGCAAGGCCCTCTCCTGTGGTGGATGCCCCGTTTGGATCCTGGACGGCCCTGATTGCACAGACATGTTGGGCCGACCTGCCTCCTGTCCCCCCAGCTCCACTGTCCACCCCGTCCCCTCCAGCCTGTACCCGAGCTCCACATGGTGCACGCAGCACACAGGAAGCTGGTGGGCTGCTGCCTGCGTAGGGCTTTCCATTTCTGGCTTCCCTTCCTTTCTTCTTGGGCCATGCTGCTTCATCAGATTGTTACTCCTGGATGTCCACCCCGGCTCACCACACCCCCCAAACCTGCCATCCCCGCCAGAAACCTGGCATCACCCTGGCCCCACCTCCTGGTCTCTGGGATCCCCAAAGGGCCGAGCCTCAGGGCCACTGCATGACACCCTGGCTGGACCCCAATCCCCTTCTGTTCCGTGGCATTTATGCTCTTTCCCACACATTCACGGTGAAAAATCCACCGGGTCTGAGATGCCCCATCAGTGGCTGTCCAGAGAGCCCCTGGCCCACTGGAGCCGCCCACTGGGACTTACTTTTCCAGCATGGCACAGTGGGTACGGGCTGCCCTGGGCTCCAGCCACACGTCGGGGCTCATCCCATGAGGTCTCCAGAAGGGAGGGGTGATACACAGATGCACATCCTGGGAGTCCTGGCATGACTGGGTCGGGGAGGGGGGCGCCAGGCACCTTCCTGCCACCTTACCTGCCGCCAGGTGCGCCCGCAGTCCGACGTGATGTACATTTCTTCTTTATACTCCACCAGCTGTGAGCCCAGGTTACCTGGTCCAAAAGAAAAAGGAGCAGCCTTGCTCTTAGGATCAGCCAGCCTTTCTCCTATACCAAGGCCTGCTGTGTCTGCCATATGTGGGCCCTGGTCCTGGTCTGTGCAGTAAAGGACCAACCTAGCCAAAGATGGCCAAGCAAGGGCCAGGTATGGGCAGAGCTCAGGTGCTTCTGGGAACCCACATGTGTAGTCCAAGCATAAGAAGTATGGAGTGGTGGCCAGAGCAGGCAGGGCTCATGGGCAGCCCCTGTCAAGCTTTAACTCAGGGACACAGCTGAGTTTGGGTTTGCAGGTAGTTCCTTGGAGGCTGTTGCAGGGAAACCCAGATGCAGGCCCAGGAAAGGGCAGGTGCCATCTGCTGAGTGGATGTTTGGGAGGACAGAGAGGTGGGCATTCAATGCACCAAACTCAGCCAGGAAGCTCTGCCTTGGTGTGAGTTCACTTGAGACCCTACACCAGGCTGGCTGGGCTGGTCATCAGCCTTGAAGGCCACTTTGAAGGGCCCTGGTGGTGCCAGATGGGCAGGATTCCTGCCCAGTATCCAAGCCAACCGCATCTCACAGGTGAGGAAACTAGTCCCAAACGGGCTTCTGTAGAAAGAACAGCGGCCACATGAATGAGCACAAGCTTGGGAAAGTCATGGCAGCCTCCAGCGCTGGGCCCAAACAGCATCCTGGGATGGTCTTGAACAAAGGTCCTGCAGGCCTCCAGGATGGTGAGGACCTCTGAAGATGACACTGAAGCTGCTCTGGAGCCCCCAGAGACCCTGCCCTGGGTGACTTGCCTATCACTTGCCATTTGAAGCCCTATTTAGGTGGCATTCTCAGAAGTATTTTACCCAGACTCAGGTTTAGACAGTCATTGGAAAATTTCAGAGGAAATGCATTGTCTCCAAACAGTTGTGTTAAAGTGAGTTCTACACATAGTGTTAGAGTGTTTGGGTGTCTGCCCTCTTTTATGGAGTCCATCCACCCACCCACCCATCCACCCACCCATCCACTCACCATCTTTTATTAGTCTATTATTCATCCAACCTTCCATCTCTCCACCCACCCACTTATCTCTTAATTAGCTCCAGGCACGCATTCATCCCCAGGTTTATTCATTAGCATTTCCGGAGAGCCTGCTCTCTGCTCAGCTCTGTGCTAAGCTCTGGGGATTCTGGGCTGTGTGAACCCCAGTCCTGCCCCAGGGCTTTCACTCTGGCAGGGGAACCCGGGAGAAGGGGTTTGCAATTGCACAGAACCAGGACAGTACTGTGAAGGGCAGTAGTCAAGGAGAGGCTTGGGCAGGCAGTGACCTCTGAGCAGAGCTGTGGGTGATAAATACAAGCTGGCCAAGGGCGGGCCTGGGCAGAGGCCTGGAGCGGGTGGGAGCCTGATAGACAGGCAGGCGGCCGAAGGGCAGGGGTGGAATCTGGGTACCTCTATACTGTCTCTTCTCCTGTGGGTCTGGGTGCTGAGAAATGGCTGCTGAATGAGTGAAATGAATGAAGTGAGTGTGACTAAATGGGACAAGTGGGTAGGGAAGAGAGAAGGAAAGGGTGCCTGTTATCCCTGTTATTCCAGATTCCTGCATCCTGTGTGGAGGCGTGCAGCGGGCAGATGCTGCCGAGACAGCACAGTGCAACCAGCACGCATGCAGTGTGCGATGTTGGTGGTGCAGATGTCTGCCTTGTAAGAGCGCCGTCTGTTTGCCTGCTCCCTCTGCCAAAGCTGTCAGGCTGCCAGTTACCCAACAGCCGGGGCACGGTGGGGAGTTCACAAACACTGAGGCTGTCAGAGAGGAAGGGCCTGCTCAGAGCAGAGTCTGACACCCTCACAATGGGAATCTGAGGCCTGGTGGAGGGAGGGGGGTCATGAAGGGAGTCCCTTCCCCACTGTGTCCCTGCCCCACTGCTGCTGTTCTGGTGGCTCCTTGGGTGTCTCCCCCAGTCTCTCTGTCCCTCCTAGCACTGACTGAGTCTGGTATATAGGAAGAGCTCACTGAAGGAAAGTGTACTCCCCTCCATCCTTCTCTGCCCCTGCAGCAAGAACAGAGCACAGCAGCAAAACAAAACCCACCCGTCCCCCGGCATGCAGAGGTAGCAGTGGCTGTGATTGCCCCTGCTATCCCCTGGGGGTGGGGATAGGGGTACCCAGTTTCTACCCATTTTATAGATGAAGAAACTGAGGGTCAGAGAGGCTATCCCAGACTACAGAGCTGGGAAAAATCAAAGCAAGAACTGGTTACAGCGTACTGTGTTAACCACTGTTTCCTGCTTAGGGGGGCTTGTTGAGCCTGTTTGTGACAGGGCTGGGATTCTGTGGGCCGGAGATGAGCCCTAGAGACCCTTGGGGGATCCTGGTGGCACATGTGTTTGAGACACCTGGTCTGCAGTCTTCAGCTTCCTGGGGGATGCACATGAGCAGGGCTGGGACTCAGAAGCCTCCTGGCCCCCGGGCAGAGTGGACAGTCCAGTAATGGCGTAGTAAGAAGGGCTGGGTGAAGGTTGTGCAGGGGTCTGGGCAGACAGGCCAGGGGAGCCCCTGAAGACTGTGGAGCAGGAAGTGGTTATTTCACAAGGACCCCATCCTAGTCTACTGAGAGGAAGAAAGGACAAAGATGAGGCATTCAGAATCCTTCAGAAACCGTTTACTCTACGAAGGAAGCCTTGGGAGGGGAGCCAACCTCTCCCCAGACATGATACTCCTGAGACAGTTCTTGTCTTTGCTGTTTGAATCTATCCCTTTCTCCTCCTGAATGGATTCTGGGTTCTGCTCTCTGGATCCCTCTGCAGGCCTGGCCTCTGCAGGCTGGACCTGCAGACAACCCCATGTCTGTTCACACCTCAGCATGGCTCTGCCTCCCAGCCCTGCTCTCTCCCACCCCCATGCCCTGCACTCTTATGCCCTCAGCTGGAATACACTCCCTATGGGTTATCTGGGCAGATGCCAGCTGGCCTGGCAGTCCTAACCCAAACCCTAGTACAGAATGGAGTACCCATATCACAGGCCCATCTGGGTCTGCTTTGCCCTGGGATTGCTGTCCCTCTGTCCCCAGGAGAAGAGCCTCATCTCTGCATCTCTAGGGCCCTGGCAGGGTACCTGGTACAGGGGTGGGGACTGTCCAGCACTAGTTCAAATGAAAGGACAGGGGAACATGCCTGGCTTTGATGCCTTCTACCACACCCCAGCCTCACCCTAATAATGAATGGAGGTTTTGTCTTCTCCTTTTACAGACAAGGAAACTAAGGCTCAGAGAAGGCTGGTGCAGAGCTTGGGACTTGTGGCTTTTACCCACCCACCTCTGAGGAGGGCAAAGGAATGACCCTGGGAAACGTGCAGCCATCACTCCCAGCTGCTTCCAGTGGTGCAGTCATGTGGCCCCACGGCCCATGCCAAGGCAGGCGGCTAGGTAGGTGAGTGTATGGCCAGTTCCCACTTGGGAGCTGCTACTTAGATTTCCAGCCCCCACCGAGGGAGCTGCCCTTCTGCTCTCAGCAGCACTCAGGGCTGCAGAGGAGGATGTAAAAAATGTACACATCACTTGGCCCACATTGCACGGATGGCTCCACCTTGGAGGAAAGCTCTGCCCAAGATTAAAATGAGGCAGAATAAAATATAAATGCAGCACCCTGCACTTGCAGGGACAGTGGGAGGCAGGGAGGCTGCAGGTGCAGAATGAGGTGGGATGCTCTGTGGGACTCACCCAACCCTGGGGTCCAAACATGCATCCTGGGCTTTCAAGGCCTTTGAGCACTAGAAACATGAAATTATGAAATTGTGCCTTTTTCTATCCAGTCAAGAATTGGAGGTTTCAGCCAATCAAGACAATGCATTTTAAGAGGCCCCACAAACCAAGTCCATGAGACTGGTGGTGCCCAGCCTGGGTGGGAGAGCCTGTGTGAGTGTGGACCCTGATGGGCAATAGACTGAGCAGACTGAAGTGACACCTAACCCCCAGCTGGCTGAATGGAGCCCTTCTTGGCCAAGGGGACCCCAGAAATACCCTAATGCTGAGTGGGCCATGAGAGGGGAGGTCACACATGCCTCGTCATGTCCCTCCCAGCTTGGAGATGTCCTTTGTAGCTAATCACCAGGCCCAAGGCCATGCAGGACAAAGCTTGAACCACACCAGCAGATCCTCAGTTTACTTAACAGGTCATTTGAGTCTGGGTGTATATCTGGTGGCTCCTCTCTGATTAACAGGCTTCCTTATCCTGACTTAAAACATTCCAAGCCTTCAGACAGAGCTTCATTTCTTTAACCAACTACAAATCAAAGAATCATTAGACCTACCTGTAACTGTAATCCCTGCCTTGAGATGTCCTGCCTTTCTGGGCTATACACATTCCATGGATTGATTTATGACTTTCTGTGTAATTCTTGTCTCCCTGAAATGTATGAAACTGAACTATAAACCCACACTATGGTACCACTTGACCATGGCTTCTTGGGCGTGGCTCTGGGCCATGGTTACACGTATCCAGCTCAGAATAAACCTCATTAAATTATTTTACAGAGTTAGGGTTTTTTCCTGTGAATGATTTCACTGAAATCAATACAGATGAGCAGAGTTTTCATTGCTCAGTGCATGTCCAGGCAGGCAGATGCTTCCAGCCTGGCTGGTGGGGACCAGGAAGGACCCCAGCATGGAGAGTATGCATAGGAACCCCAGAAACTGAAGGTGTTCTGTTTGTGATCCTCTCTCCTAATAGTTGGGTCACTTCCCTTCTGTCAAGCCCCATACTCTCCAGGGTAATGTCAGCATACCTTGTCCTGACAGGCAACGTCTCTATGGTCATTTATGGGGTCTTCACCCCACAGCTAATCTGTGCACACTGGTTCAGTTGTTCTTAATACCACATTCCCTTTTCTGCCCAGAAGACAATTACCTGCCATCTCAACACGGCCATTCATTCATTCATTCATTTATTCATACACTCATTCATAAAGAACCCTCGAGGACCCACCCTGGGCCAGGCCCCAGACTAGGTGCTGGACAAAGTGAAGGGTTGGATGTGGTGTCCAGCTAATCCTTGGCCCTCAGACACATAGCCACCCACCCCCTCCAGGCTGCAGATAGCACTGGGGCTAACTAGGAACAGGTCCTGTGTTCCCAAGGCCATGAGCTCTGGACCCATATCTCTGTTGTCCCTGCTCTGTGATGGGGCAGTGGATAGTGCCTCTCTGTCTCCTACTGCCTCTCTGTCACCTACTGCCTCTCTGTCACCTACTATCTGAAAAGTGGTTATGCAAAGTCTTACCTGGCTCTATGTCCCACCCCAGTGACCTCAGACAGGTGGCCCTACTTTGTATTGTGAATGACTCTTATAGCTCAAATAAATATGGTATTATTCAATCAGCACACAGTTAATCATCCTTGAAGAAGGTTCTAGTTTAGTGGGAGAGGCATACATGTATGCAAATTGTAATTCTGGTTTTGTAAAAGATGATAGTTTTACATATGCCTCTCTCTTTCTCTCTCACTAAACTAGAACTTTCCTCAGGGACAAATAAATGTCAGTTATGATACAAATCATCCATCCACTCACCCATGGGTGATCCCTCCATCACCCATTCATCATTCACTCATTCATTCACTCATCATACCTCCATCCATCCACCTTCTATCTACCTATTCTTCTATTCAGCCAACACATATCATATGCCCCCTTTGTGGCATACATTCACTCTTTGGAATTTGTCATGAGCATTGAAATTCCTGGAGACGTGGTGGCACTGCCCCTCATGAACGTGTCATGGCCCTAGGCCTGTGGCCATCAATATTCGCCCTCAAGTTTGAAGCTCCTCTGAAGCTACATAGCACTTTCCAGCTGGCTGTGATGGCTGCCACCTACCTGCGCCCATGATGAGGCCTGGGGCAGTGTCCTTGGTGTGCACAGTGCCTGAGACATAGGGGTTGTCTGCCCAGCGCAGGTGCAGGTGCAGGTGGCAATCTGGCTGCAAGGAGGAGAGAAGAAGGGACAGTTAGCACTGGGGTAGGAGTGTCTGTAGGAAAACCAGGCCTGAGTTTTCTGCCCTCCTCCTTTTGGGAGGGGCTTTTGGGTAAGGAGGCAGGGCTGAGAGTGCCTTGGAGAAGTGGATGGAGGATGGGAAGAAGCTCAGAGGCTGACCACAAGGCAAAGGGCAGGAGGACAAAGATGGCTTCCGTAGACGTTTTGCTCAATGGCTTGGGAAGTGGAGGGGAACGTGTGAGGCATCCAGGAGGATTTCTGGGGTCTCTGGTATAGATCAGGGCCCCCACAGCACCTGGTGTTGTGCCCCTGCCCACAGGTGCTGCAGGTGGGCTCCTTCCAGGGAGGTCTCACTGGTCCTGACAGGTGGGCTTCCCCACATGGTCCTATGTGCAGTGCTGGGCTCAGGGCATGATTCCTGGAGTCTGCACAGCCCAGGCTTACACTCCTATCCAGCCAACTTGAACCTTTACTGGAGCCTCTTACGTGACTATGTCCGCCCTGGATACTGTGCACTCTCTCCACCTTGGGAGATGGAGGCAAGCTAGTGTGCCAAAGCCGCAGGGGCTTGCTCTGATGACCCCATGTCCTCTCTTCCCTCTTTTACCTGAGATGCTAGGTCTCAGAGGTCTGGTGGCCACACCCACTCGATGACATAGGACTTTCCCCAGAGACTCCAGCTAACCAAAGATGCCAAAGGGGTGCAGGGTGACAACTTGGGTCAGCCTTTCCAGTTTCCCCAGGTCAAGGAATCCTATAGGACAAGTGAGGTGGGCAGTCCTCAGGCCTGGTCACAGAAAGGGCAGGGCCTGCGATCCTTGTACCTCCTCTTCTTGGCTCTTGGTGTCTTTCTCTGGGCTGGGGCAATACTTTTGATTCACAGGATTATTGGATGAACATGGCACTGCCTCTGGGGGAAAAGTATGTGTCCAGCCCTCCCCTGGACAAGGTACTGCCTAATTGCTTAGCTAAATGTGAACATTATTTTTACCTTCTTTTATTTTTATTTTTTTCTAGGTAAAAATCTCCAGTTTGGAAATACTGTAGAACTGGGAACCCAGAGATCCAAATTTTAACTTTTTTTGCCACCAATTTTCTAGGCACCTATGGGCTTCAGTTTTCTCATCTGCAAAATGGAGGCAGTGGTGCCTGCCGCCCACACCCTGAGGGGCCAGTGCAGATCCCAGTACAACATTCTAGAACCTGCTCTATGCAAGGGACAGTTGCTCTCTTTATTTGGTGTTTTTATAGTATTTTTCTTTTGCCCCCCCCAAACTATGTTTTATATAGATTACCCTAAATTAAAAACTAAACTTTTTAGTAAATTGGATATTGATCTGCATCAGACACCTCCAGGCAATGTCCCTAGTTGATGGACAGCCTTCATTTGTCTGCACTGAGGTTTTAAAAAATGTATTAGTTGCACTACATACTACAGGATTCCATTCACACACAGAACCTGGAGCGGAGACATGCCTGGGGACACAAAGCAGACAGGGGGTTGGCAGGTGCTGGGGGTGGTGGGGGATAAGGGGTGACAGCTAAAGATTTACGGTTCTTTTGAGCGATGAAAATGTTCTAAAATGGACTGCGGTGATGGTTGCACAGCTCTGTGAATATACTAAAGAATCATTGAACTGTACATTTCAGAGCCCCATGCTGAAGATGGCTGGACCCCAGTGGTGGGAAGGCTGGTCACTGTGTCATCCCAGGAGAGCCCTCTCCTTGGGATGAACAGGGAGAAACTGGTCCTACTGAAGACCTGTGGTCTGTTACAGCATCATCTGTTCCAATAGAGGCTCCTGATTTCTAGGACCAGAAGGCCGATCAGTGAGTGAGTAGCTTCGGTAGGACAGTTTAGTCAAGTGTCCAGCCCACCTGGACAGACCAGGTGTAAATGAGGGGTGCACGGAAAGGAGAGCCCTGTGATCTGGGTAGGCGGGGTCGGGTCCACACTGTGGACAGAGGCTCCAGTCCAGAGAAGGAGCCTCAGCAGTTGTCTCTATCACAGCTCAGACCTGGAGGGGCCAGGTGGGGGCGCCCGGGCTCACAGGCTGGTCTCTGCCAACCTTGGCTGCTCTTCAAGAGCAGGCACATCAGATCACTTTCTGAGTGTGCAGTGGGCAGAGCCAAGTTAGGGGTGTGGCTCACAGGCCCTGGATGCCTCCTCCTGCCCTCGTCACTGCAGGTCTGCCCAGGTTGCTTGTTGGGCCAGAAGTGGAACACTCCTCAGGGTCCCTGTGGTCAGCTGTGGCCCCCACCCACTGGCAGATGCAGGCAGCCCTGCAGTCCTCTTTGTGTTCCCCTCGGGGCCTGCTGATGGCCACACATATGTCTTCCCTCTAGCTCAGCAGTTCTCAGCCTGACCCCTTTTTAACAATGAAAATACATTATGGCATTAGGAAGGTTGAGAACTGTGCTCTAGCATGTGGAGTGGCTGTGGGTGCTCTGCTGGTGTCTGACGAGGCCCACACATGCCTCCCAAGCAAGGCCCAGCTGAGCTGATGTAGGGAAAGGCAAGTCAGGCAGATGGGGAGGCGCTGACCTGCAGGCACTCAGACACTCTGCAAAGGGCTTGGGACAGCTGGGACCAAAGGCTCCAGAGTGCCCCTTAAGTGCATACTGGCAGAAATGGGGGTTCCTCTGAGGCCACCCTGCATGAATGCAGCCATTGGTCATGGCCCCACCCTGATGGAGGTGGGTCCAGATACTTCAGAACTGGGAAGGGAGGCCCACGCTGTCCAAAGACTCCCCCTTCTCTGCCCTTTCTGCCTTTAAGAAGTGTGTAAAGTGTCCAGCAAATCATTAAATCTATCAGATGGACAGTGGGCAAAGAGCCACACCGTCAGCCCACCTGGATGCCCAGCTCCTGCCTCAGCCTGGTGTCTAAGAAGAGATAGTATAGGCTGTAGAATGAATGGGTTTTTATTCTGAATTTGAGATGAAAACAAATTCAAAACCATCTTCCAATGAGGATGGATCATCCTGAAACAGATCTGGTCCTACCACTCATCTGTTAGAAAAAACATCCCTTCCTTCCCCCATTGCTGGAAGGAGGTCCCCAGACCGGGAGTTGAGTGAACAGGCTAGGAAAAGATTCATGACCCAGAGCTAAGAGAAAATGAGAGGGCTGGAAAGTCACACACATATTGCTCCCAATGGCGACCTTTTAGCAGGTGTCTGTATGAGCTAAGTCTGCAAAGGAGAACACCTGGTTATTGTTACTTCTGGGTGGTGTGACTACAGTTGGACCCCGTTTCCCTTTTTTAAATATATAGATGTATTTCTTATTTTCCAAGGATTCTGCAGGAATCACTTTTATAATAAGAAATAAACCTTCCGGGGTGGCACCTGTGAAGGAGTAGGGTGCTGGCCTCGTATGCCGGAGGTGGTAGGTTCAGGCAGTAGGTTCAAAAACTGCCAAAAAAATAAAAGAAGGAAAGAAACCTTCCTATGCAATTTTACCTGTTCATTGTGAGGTTGAGTGGCCGTAAGGACATAGCTGGAGCAGTCCCAGTGTGTGGCTGAGCGTGGCTGAGCCCTCATTTACCCTTTTGAGATGCCGCGGCTACATACACTGGATGACCAGCTCCCTGGGCCTCCGAGGCTTTAATTCTGTGCAACCTGTGCCCAGGTGGGCTCTGCACACTCTGTCCTGCATTTCCTTTGTGCTCTCAGCATGTCTTCTGGGGGCCGCACACTCACTAGTCACTCCCATCTTCATTATTTTAAGGTTGGGACATAAATCTTGCAGAGGTTATCTCTCCTCACGGAGCTGCATAATTGCAGACAAGAATCTATTCTTAGAAAAAACTTGCTTTGACAGATTAATATGGCTTAACTTTGCTGGTGATGATACAAAAATTAGCCCTTTCACAGCACTTCTGTTCTCGGAAGGGTTTTACAAATGGCAGGTAATTAATTCTCTGTGTAGGTCGACAGGTGTTATCAGCCTCCGTGATCAGCGGGAGGGGATTTGTGCAGGGCCAGGCGCAGGTGCCTCAGAGGTGAGCTCAGCCAGAGCTCAGGCCTGGGTCAGAGCAAGGGGCTGTCCCTCCCCGGGTTGGGGGGCAGGTGGGGTGCTGCCCTGGGGGCACAGAGGCCTGCCCTTGCTCTCAGGGTCACTCTGACCATGTTTCACTGCAGCAAACCCCGTCGACCAACACTGGGGCTGCTGGGGGCAAGGTGGCACCATTTTCGGATTCTGTCAGACAGAATCCCAGCAAGACAGGGATTGTTTTCTGTTTAGTTTACTGGTGTGTTCTGAAAATCCAGAGCAGCCCCTGGCAGGCAGCAAGTGCTCTTGTGTATGTGTTGAATGAATAACCCTGTAAAACAGGCACTGTTGTTATTTCTATTTTGCACATGAGGAAACTGAGGCAGAATTATGGATGGATACAGGGGTCCCCAGTGTACAGTTCCTACCTTTGAGAGGCTTCTAGCTGACAGTGGGAGACAGAGAGAGAAGCAAGTATGCCCAGTAAGGATTTCTCAGTGAGAGAACACGTGGGCAGAGTTTTCAAGCATTCCTAGGAGTTTGCTGGATAAGGACGGGGAAAGAACCTGCTTGCTCTGCGCCAGAGATAAACATATCCCTGTATGACTTCATTTGTTGTTCACCACAATGGAACAGGAGACTTTTATCATCTTCCTTCCTCTTCATCAAAGGCCCAGAGGCATTAGTAGACTTGGACAAGATCATGCAGTCAGTGGAGAAGTTGACACTGTAACTTTGGGTAGCTCCAGTTCTGGACCTTTCCCCTATTCCAAGGGGCCCAACCCTTGGGAAGGGTCCAGGATGCTGGTTGTTCTGAGCCCCCTGTAGTATATAAGGAGAGAGCCCCTGGGAAGACCCACGTGGGACACTATGGGGTAGAGAGAGGGAGTGAGAAGCCTGGCCAAACTCCCACGGCCCACTCGGCCCTTTCCTGCCTCGCAGCTGCTGGTCACTGAGTGCTCACCTGAGACGCGCCCCCTTAGAGCTCATCTTTCCATCCTCACCAGCATGGCCCTGTGTGATACCTGGGTCCCTGGTAGCCATGCAAGAGCTTGGGGGAGTACTAGCTACCCTCCCACCCTCCTCTCTCTAGGCAGCCAAGGGGCTCAGGCAGTCTACATTTGTATTCAGGTAGAAAGGTAGCCTCAGAATAGCAGTGTCCACTTTAGAGCTCACAACACTTGGGCTTCGACCAGCTCTGCCACTAACTATAATGGTGCATTGCTTTTGGTGGCAGATTACAAACAAATATCCACTCCCTACCCCTTACTTCCATGGGCCTTCATGTTGGCTACTATGATTTACCAGGTAAAACACACAGAACCTTGGAATGTGTTTGTCTGTGCTTATCCCCTCACACCTCTGCCGTCATCATGAGAACTGAGGGGGCAGGGGTTCAAGAGGAGGAGGCAAGGTGTACAGAGCGGAGACCAGTCAACTCCCAGACATGTGAGTAAGCGCAGCCAAGATCAGTAGAACCACCCAGCTGAGCCCACCCCGATCTGGAGTGACTGTATTCTGAGGTGGTTTCTTACCCAGAAACGTAGTGGTAGATAGAAGTGAACTGATGCACTTCCCCCTCTGACTTCTCCTTACCTCTCTGCAAACAAGGAGTTTCACCTGACCCTCTCCACCATGCCTAGCAGGAGTAAGTGGTTCGTGTGTCTCAGACATCACCACCTCTGATTTTCTGGATGACTGCAGTAACGCCTGTGTCCACCCCACAGAAAGTGTGTGATGTGAGCAGAGGTACTTACAGGCTTACAGTTGGTGGGTTTTCCATTCATGTCTATGCTGGGTGGTTGCAGGTAATCCCAGTCGCGGCCCTTGTTGTAGGTTATAAGCGTCATCACCTTCCCATCAATTTTTTGGTTTGCTAGAAAGACTCCTTTCACCCCTCTGACCTGGGACAAAAATACAGGAAGGACTGAGTGTCCACCATGCTCCAGCCCCAGGCTAAGTGCTCAGCACTCAGCACACATGGTTTCATTTCACCCCCACAAGGCCTCAGCTGAGGCATATTCTAGAGGCAAGTGAGGCTCAGAGGGGTGGGAACCAAGACTCTGGGCCCAGATTCCCCAGGAAGCTTGTTCTATCTGGCTGTCAGCCTGAGTGAGAGTCATGACTCTGAGCTGTCCTCCCAGATACAGACACTGAACTTCAGAGGCCAAGTAGCACGCAGGCCCCTGACATGCCTGTGTCTTTGTCACCCCATCCGCTCCCAGAACTCCTGACTCAGAGCTCAGAATCCTCTGTGCCACCTGTTTCTACTGGATGCTGCACCCACAGGCCTGGACCAATAGAATTGCCTCTGGGCTTTCTTGAGCTCAGTTCCCACACAAAATACCAAGTGCTAAGGGTGGGAGGGAGGGTCATGCTGACCCCAGCATAGCCTGCCTGGACAGGGGCTCTGTTTTGTCCTCCTCGCTCAGGGCCAACCTCACTCCCTCAACACTCTTCTCCCTTTGTGGGAAACCAGGGGGACAGTGAATGTATGTGCACATGTGTGTGTGTAGGGCAAGTGTGAGTGTGTGATTGTGAGTGTGTATGTGGAGGACGAGTGTGTGAGTGTGAGCATGTGTGTAGGACAAGTGTGTGTGTGCTTATGTGGTTGTGAAAGGTGTGTGGATGACAAGTATGAGTATGTGTATGTGAGTATATGTGCGTTAGTGTGAGCATGTGTGTGTAGAAGACAATCGTGGTGTGTGTGAAAGTGTGTGTGTGTGTTTTAGCTATAGACCGTTTGATGGGCCCCTCTGTACATGACTGTGGACCAGTCACAAGACTACCCTGTGACTGGGCACCCCCTTGTGTGGGAGATAAAGGAAGGCCCACACTGGCAGGGGACGCTCTGACAGGCTTTGGGTTTCACAACCTCCTAAAACCCCAGCAAGGCAGGCAGGAGAAGGGCATGCGGGGACACCACCTGAAGGGCCTCCACCCTCCACCCTGCCCGTGCCTGGTCTAGCTTCTACCTTCCCACATCCTAAGGGCAGGCTGAGTGCTGATTTGCCCCTGATTTGCTTTATTTGGCAATTGCTATTTTATATCTCGGCTAAGTCCCCATGAATACACTCGGCAGCAAATAACACGGGCACCTCCGTCCCAGGCAGGCCAGTGGACGCAGACGAGTCCCTGGTGGGTATGGGTCTGACCGGCTGAGCGTTGGCTCTGAGTGGTGATGCAGTTGTATAACTGCCTGCTTTATGGCTGTATTCGTTGTCTGTGGCTGCTATGAAAAGTCACCACAAATTGGGTGGCCTAATACAACAGAAATTTATTCTCTTGGAGACCAGAGTCTAAGATCCAGGTGTCTCATGCTCCCTCTGCAGGCTCTGGGGAGGGCTGTCCTGCCATAGCTGCCTCCCGGGCTCCAGGCCTTCCTTGGGGTTCGCCCTCCTCTCTGCTCCGCCTCCCTCTCCATATCTGCCTCTCTTCCTCTGTCTCTAGCACAGACGTTAGGAATGGACTGAGAGTCCACCAGGATCCTTTCACCTTGAGTCTTTCACTCAATTATGCTGCAAAGATCCCTTTTCCAGATGAGGTCTGTGGCAGGGCCTGGGTATTGGGATGTGGGCATACCTCTTGGGGAGCACCACTCAGCCATAGCAGTGCCTGCCTCCTAACTGTGGCCAGGGCTTCTCAGGGGCAGGGGACAAGGCTGTGTCCCCTGAGTCCCCACTCTTAACCCAAGCTGAAGCATGGAGAGGAGCCTGAGAGAGGTTTGCTGTCTTGCCTTGAACCCAGTATGCTCCGAGGAGGGACACACCTCCACGGGCACTTCAAAGTGCAGGGCTTCTGAGGCAGCACTTGCTGGTGATGTCTGGAACAATTGCTTTTCCTGGACGTGTGGTTGGGTCAGTAACCATGACAACAACCATGATAATAACAGTACTGGCTGCATGCAGGGGACCTCGAGGGCCAGCTGCCAAGCCAGGCACTCCCCATGCATTACACCTAATCCCCAGAAAAGGCCAGAGCTGGGAATACAAAGTCATGCTGTTCCACCTGCTTTAAATAGAAATCCTCACAGCAACCCTGGGAAGAGGGTACTACCACCATCCCCATTTCACATGGTGAAGCACAGAGAAGTTAAGTAACTTGCCTAAGGACATGCAGCAAACAAATACCAGAACATGGACGTGAACCCAGGTTTTTAAGCTCTACAGTTGGGCCTGTAACCACTAGCCCTGATCTCTGTTTGAGGGATCACAAAGAAGTGATGTCACTTGTGAGGTAACCTAACTAGTGGGGAGCAGTGCTATCTTTGGACCCAGCCATTAGGAACCCCTTCTGTTTCCTCTTTTCTCTTACCTGGTGGTCTCAGTGCACAGACTGGGGCTGCTCTGCTTCCTCGCCAGCTCAGCCTCAACTCAGTGTCTATGCCCTTCAGGAAGAATCCTTGACTCCTGCCCGGCTGGCCAGTCACTCCTATACGCGTCCCTAGGTACTTGGGTGCCAGGCTTCCTGCTCTGTGAGGCTGGACACGGAATCCCTGCCTGTGTCCCTGTCTGAAATCCCCGGCCCTGGCACTTTTCCTCTGTCTTCCAGCAGGACTGGGGCCTCCCAGAGCCTGTCTGTGACTGTGGGTCCTCCTCAGAGGCTCTGCAGGACAGGGTCTTTGGGTGGGAGGCGTCCTTGCCTCAGGCAGAAGGCCCACCTGTGGGGTAGCTTTCAGCAAGCAGCGACTGTCCAGCTGGGGAAGCGGACCTGACAAATGGGCTCGTGTTGTAAACAAATGATTCCATTCATTACTTTCCCAGGGACAGTTGTTCCACACTGCTCGTGACAGGGGAGAGATGAATGCTGAAGCCTGCTGCTCTGTCTGGGAGGTGCCTTCTACTCACAAGCCAACTTCAATGTCTGCTGAAGGCTCTGCTGGCCACCCGTGAGACACCCTCCCCTGCCCTGGCAGGGACAAGTGGCCACCAAGTGACAGCAAGGAACTCTGCTTGTCCCTGCTTAAAACCTATCACCTATCTGCCACCTAATGGTGTAGGAGGGCGTCCTTCCCACCCAGGGACACACGCAGGAGGAACTTGGGGGTGAATGGGAGGGAGTCCCAGCATTAGGGCCCAGCTTGGAGCAGATAGACCTGGGCTGGTTCTGGGTTTCCTGCTTATGTCCAGGTCTGCCTGGGCACCCTCAGTTTCCCGACTTGTAAATGGGCTCCAGGGTCTCCCACTCTGGCTACTGTGTCAAGAAGAACAAAGGAGGTGGCCTGTGAATAGCCTGGTCCAGGCAGGGTCACCGGGTGTATGATGGGACGTGAGTGAAGTCTCAGTGGAAAGAAGTGGAGCTGTGCCCGGGGCGCTCAGCGGCAGGGCCCTGGGAAGAGCTTGTTTTCTTTCTTACTTTAAAAGCACTAAGGGAATGTCCTCTCAGCCTGCAGAGTCAGAAACCTCCGGCCTTTCAGAGATGTTTGCAGACCCAGAGCCACAGCATGCGGGACTGGGGGGAGAGGCAGATCCAGCAGACCTGGCTCAGGCCCACGCCCACGCCCGGAGGACGCACCTCCAGGATATCGACGACCACGCTCTCCTCGGCCTGCCGCGAGCTGCGCACGTCCTGCAGCACCAGCGCGTAGCGCACACCACGCGGGTCTGACTGGTACAGGTTGTAGGTGTCCACCTGGTACCACTCCTGCACCGCCACGAACACCTGGTTCTCGTCCGTGCTGATGATCTGCAGGTCCTGGGGGGACAGGGTGGGCGCAGGGTCAGAGAGGGTCAGGTGGCAGAGGGAGCAACGGGAGCTGGTGGCAGAGTTCTGCTACCTCCCTGGGCCTCCATTTGCCCACCTCTAAAATGGGGGTGACACTGGGACCCTCTGTACCCAGTGTGGGAAGGTGGCTGGGGTGCCTCCTCCTCCTGGGCTGTCACTGGGCTGTCCCCCTGTCTAGCAGTGGGAAGAGGCATCCTTCCTCCATGCACCCCAGATGGATGGTCAGAGTGACTTGGGTGAGAGCTGGGTACCCCCATCAAGAATGTTGGGGAGCCCTCAGCCCCTTCACTCATTCCCACATAATTGTTAGGCACCTACGATGTGCCAGGCTCATTTCAGGCACTGGGATATTGTGGGGAACCAGACTTTGTCCTAAGCCTTTTGCAACATGTGTCAGGCAGGGAGAAAGTCTTGGATTAATATACTTGGGCTTAGGCCCCAGGTGGTGCGTATGCCACCTGATACTCAAGCTGCCATTTGGCCACAGTCGTCTGTGCCAGCCCCGAGGCAGCACTGGCCCCAGGATAACCTTGGCTTCTCATTTTCCCTCCCTCCCCGAGCTGTGTGGGAGCCACGTGGAGTGGCTCCCACACAGGACCACCTGAAGGCATCATGAGCTTTTCTCCTGCAGCCTCTATTGCTTTGCCTTCTATCACCTGGAAACTTGTATTGCCCTTCCGACAATATAGCTGCGGAGACACAGAGCTGAGGTCACCACTGGCCACATGGCTGCGGCAGTCTGGGATGGTCTCACTCTACACTTTCTCAGCCCTGGGGAGGGTCATCATCTTTCTGTGAAGTAACAGACCGAGTCCCTACTCTGCCGGGTGGAGTGTGGTCTTCAGCAGCGGGTGAGGGAGCAGCTTCCCAGCAGGTTGCTCAGGGCCGGACTTCTGGGCGCTGAGGCTCGACCCTGCCTCTCACTGCCTGCCTGTCCCCCGTGCGACCCAGCTTTGAAGGGCTCCAGAAGAGGTGTGATGTTGGGAAGCACTGACCGTGCACCCCTCAGAGAGGGGGGACCTCGAGCTGCACAGGCTGGGGCCTCTGTCTATAAACAGGACCCAACACACAGAAACAACTGGAACCCAGACTCACACAGCCAAGGGAGGAACACAGAGGGGACCAGGGCTTGGTGGGTGGGTCCCATCTGTGTGATGGGACGACAGAGTGACGTGTGTGAGTGAGGTGCCTACAGCCAGCAGGCTTGTCACTGCTCTTCTGTCCTCCTCAGCACTCTGTCCCCATTTATTGGTCATTCTGCTGCCCCACCAGGGTAGGTCTGTCTGCGGATCCATGTCATGGCAGAGACTCGGACCCTGTAGTCAGGTTGCCCTGAATGGGGTGACTGGGGGGTTGGGGAGAAGGGCTGACTGGCATCACCTGCATCACCCACATTCAGGATTTACAGTGATTGCACTAATTCATTAATTTTGACTTTGTCTCCTCTGTGCCTGGGTGAATACACTGCAGGATTGTTTTTGAAAATCTAGGAAACTAAGAAAAATGTATAAGTATCCAATGTACTCAACCCTACTATGAAACTAATAGTTAGCTATCATATGAAAGCTATAACCCAATTTTAGCCCAAGCATATGGGGAAAGGGGGGAGGGGGAGGGGGGAGGGAGAGGAGGGGTGAAGGGAGGGGGATCGTTGGGATCACACTGATGATCTATCCTGTAAGGGTACATGTGAATCTTTCTAAATGTGGAATATAAATGTCTTAACACAACAACTATGAGAATGACACGAAGACTATGTTGGCCAATTGGATGAAAATATTTCAAATTGTATATGGAAACAACACACTGTACCCCATGATAGTATTAATGTGCACAATTATGATTTAACAAAAAAAATGTATAAGGTGTCTCAAAGTTACATTCACTGCCATCCTAAAGGCAATATCTTTTTAAATTTTCATTTTTAACTATTATGGGTACATAATATGTTTATAAGGACACATGTGATGCCTTGATACGGGCATGCAATGTGAATCAGTCCCATCAGGGTGACTGGGCTGTCCATCGCCTCGGGTACTTATCACTCCTCTGTGTTGGGAACATTCCAATTCCACTCTTTGAGTTATCTCAAAGTATACCCTAACTTACTGTTGACGATAGTTAGCTAGATTTTCAGCCTACCTAATTACCCACTGTATTTTTGCGCTTGTTAACCATCCCCACTTTATCTCCCCTCCCTGCGACCCTCCCCAGCCTCTGGTAACCATCACTCTACTCTCTGCCTCCAGAAGATCAGTAGTTTTAATATTTAGCTTCCGCATGTGAGTGAGAATGGGGGAGATGTGTCTTTCTGTGTCTGGCTTATCTCACTTAATGGAACGTTCTGTTCCACCCATGTTGTTGCAAACGGCAAGATTTCATTCTTTGTTGTGGCCGTGTAGTATTCCACTGTGTGTATGTGTCACCATTTCTTTATCCATTGGTGGACACGAGGTTGATTCCACATCTGGACTACTCTGAATAGTGCTGTAATAAAGATGGGGTGCAGACCCCCAGTTCCCTTCTTTCCTCTGTGTGTGTGTGTATCCAGCTGTGGCGAGGCTGGGTCATAGGGCAGTTCTGTTTTTAGTTTTTCACTGCTCTCCACAGTGGCTGCCCTAATTTACACTCCTGCCAACAGTGCCCAGGGCTCCCTTTCTCCACATCCTTACCTGCGTTTGTTCCAGTCTTTCTAATAAATGCCATTTTAACTGGGGTGAGATGGTATCTCATTGTGGCTTTGATTTGCATTCTCTGGTAACTAATGATGTTAAGCATTCTTTCATGTATCTGTTGGCCATTTGTATGTCTTCTTTTGAGAAATGTCTATAGAGATATTTTACCCATTTTTAATTTAATTTAATTTTGTTTTGTTTTTAGACAGGGCCTTGCTCTGTTGCCCAGGCTAGAGTGCAGTGGTGTCATCATAGCTCACAGCAGCCTCAAGGTCTTGAACTCAAGTGATCCTCCTGCCTCAGCCTCCCTACTAGCTGGGACTAGAGGCACACGCTCTGCCCAATTTTAATCAGATTATTAGATTTCTTTTTTCCTATTTAGTTACTGGACCTCCTTCCTTGCTAGAAGGAAACACCAAGGTTCCAATATTATTAGGTACAATTAGGTTTGCTTATAAGTAACAAAAACAGGCAGAAAAAAAGGCAACTGAAATAAGATCGATAAATATAGAATTATATTATTAAAATATAATTATACATTCTAATTATTAATCATTTGTCAGATGGGTAGTTTGCAAATATTTTCTCCCCATTCTGAGGATAGAAGAGACCTAATATTAATATTTTAAAATGTTTCTGTTTGGGCTTTTTCCCAGTGTGATTCATATTTTTTATGTACAGTTTATAGCTTGCTCTTTCACATTATATGAGGAGTATTTTCCTCTGCCATTAAAGTTACCTACAAACACTACTTTTAATGACTGCATGATATTCTACTTTGTGGACACACTATATTTCACTAAGCCATTTCCCAACTGGTAAACATTTAGTGTTTTCAACATTATTGCAAGACAGTTGCGGACATTCCTAGACATAGATGTCTGCTTTTCTGGTTATTTCCTCACCTATGATCCCAAGAAGGGAAATCACTGCAGTGGAGTTAGGAACATTTTGAAAACTCATGTTACTTGTTAAATTGCTGTCCTGAAAGTTTTTATTAATTTCTTCCCCAGCAGCAGGGTTAGAGGCCCTCATTTCATGTTACATGTGCTAATATTGGGAATGGCCTTTTAAACATACTTGCTGATTGGGCGGGGCCTGTGGCTCAATCGGTAGGGCGCCAGCCCCAGATACTGAGGGTGGCCGGTTCAAATCCGGCCCGGCCAAACTGCAACAAAAAATAGCCAGGTGTTGTGGTGGGCACCTGTGGTCTCAGCTACTTGGGAGGCTGAGGCAAGAAAATCGTCTAAGCCCAAGAGCTGGAGGTTGCTGTGAGCTCTGATGCCACAGCACTCTACCAAGGTGACAAAGTGAGACTCTGTCTCTAAAACAACTTGCTGATTACAGAGTCACAAATAATAGGAAGTTTTTGCTTATTGTTACATTTATTTTTTTCTATTTATTTGAGAAAAGAAACAAACTTTTCTGGCATCATTTTTAAACAGAAGACGTAAGCAGCATTCATATATATGTATATGTGATTGTGTATCATTGTATGGCTGGAGAAGTATGTGGAAGCAAACACCAAGGGTGCCAGTATTTGTTACCAGGTCAAACTAAGTTTGCAAAAAAGGCAACTGAAATCAGATGGCAGCTCATTTCTCTCCTATGTAAAAGGAGCCTGGAAGTGGACAGTCTAGTGTGGATGTGCCACAAAGGACACCAGAGGCTCCTTCCAGGTCACCACTCCCTGTCCCAGGATGTGGCCCTTGTCCTCATGGTCCGAGATGAGTGCTGTCACTCAAGCATCATACTGATATGCGAGGCCAAGAGAGGAGGTGAACAAGGGAGCCTTTTAACAGAGGGCTCCATGGAGTTGCACAGGGCAATTCCATTAGCATCTCATTGGCCAGACCAGGGGTCCTCAAACTTTGTAAACAGGGAGCCAGTTCACTGTCCCTCAGATAGTTGGAAGGCTGGACTGTGGGCCCCGGGACGAGTCGGCTGCTACACAGGATAGGCAGCGGTGGCAAAAACACCCGGTAGGCCGGACAATTGTCCTAGGCAGGCTGCATGTGGCCCACGGGCCATAGTTTGAGGATGCCTGGGCCAGATGGGAAGCTGGGAAATGCAGCCTTTCAGTGGCAAACAAGGTACAAGCTAAAGTTTGATGTAGGTTAAACTAGGATGAAGGGGCAGAAGTCTCCCAGTTTCCTAAGGGAAGCAAGGCAGGCAAAGAAAGGAGGAATAAAGAGGCAAGCAGGCGGAAACGGTATTATCCATGTATATAAAATTGTACATCATATTGTATTATACGATTATATATTATATTTAGACTATATTGCATTATAATACATACATATTGTTCTGTTAGTTGCAGAGAGTACATTTTGAAGGAGTAGTTTTGGAAAAGTTTAAAAACAGTAGTAACTGCAAAAAAGAATTTAAAAAATAAAAACAAAAAAAAAAACAGTAGTAGTAGACATGATGGGGGAAATTTCTGCATAGATGTTTATATAGAATTCATGGCATGCCCTTTTAGACAGCTATAGGAGCTGTGATGTCAAAATTGTTCCTGCACTTTGAAGCTGTCAGCTCACTGCGTGCTGGCCTTCAGCGCTCCTGACGAGCGGTCTGTGGATAGTCTTACTGAGTGTCGCTTGTATGTGACAAGTCACCTCTCTCTTGTGGCTTTCAAGATCCTCTCTTGGTCTCTGTCACTTCACAGGTTGACTGTGTGTCTTGGTGTGGGTCTCCCTGTGTTTATTCTGATTGGAGTTTGTTAACTTTTAGATACTTACACTCATATCTGTAATTAATTTGTGGACATTTTTAGCCATCATTTCTTCAAATGATCTCTCTGGTCCACCTCTCTTCTTTTCCTTCTGGAATCCCCACAATGCACCTGTTGATCTGCCTGATAATATCCAAAAGGTCCCTTCCACTCTAGTCACTTTTTTTTTTAATCTTTTTTTCCTGTTTCTTTGACTTGATAATTTCCATTGCCCTATCTTTAAGTTCCCCAATTCTTTCCTTTGACTTTCAAATGTGCTTTTGAATCCCTCTTGTGAACTTTTCAATTTTTCGGTTCCTTTTTATGTTTCTCATGGCTTTATTACCATTTCTGTTTTGTCCACATATCACTTTCGTATTCTGTCCGCGCCTCCCTTTAGTTCCTGGGTCATCCTTGAGACAGTGCGTCACAGCATTGTCTGGCAGGCCTGCCACCTGGTCTTTCTCAGGGAAGGTTTCTGCTGATTTTGTTTCCTTGGAATGCATCCTACCTACCTGTTTCTTTGTGTGCCTTATAACTTCTTTTATATTAAAAACTGAACCATGGTAACTCTGACAATTAGATTGCCCCTTTTCTGCAGAGCTTGCCCTCTTCGGCTTTGATTTTTGGTTGCTGTAGGTTGTCTCTGTACCAAGGGTCGCCTGACATGTAAACTGGAGGTCTGAGGTCTTTTCTGAGCTGCACTTTCCCTTGGGCACACATGGTGGCTTTCTCAGTCCTCCCACATAAAGTAGAACCTCCGCAGTTGACCACTTCCCTTCACTGACCACCTCCTTAAGCTGACCCAATTACACATGTACTCGATGGAAGTTCCTTATGGTGACCAACCCTGTATGTTGAGTGGTACAGTCCTTTGGGTGGTCAACTTGCAGAGGTTCTACTGTATGTGGTTGCTTTTAAGGCACAGTCCTTCAGTGTCTGGCTCCCAAAGGGGAAATTAAAAAGGGGAAATATAGGCTCCAGTCCTTTAAAGCCCCTGGAAGCCACTTCAGGTAGTGGTGGTTGTGACGACGGGTGCCCACCTGGGTGTCTCCACCTCCACAATCAGATGAGAAGCAATCAGCAATCATAGCACAGACCCAGTACTTGCAGGACGAGGTTCTCACTGCCCACCTGGCTCCTGCAAGCTGTGTGCAGGCTGCCCCAGAAACATGGCACACGTGCCTGTCACAGGGCAAGGAGTGGGGGTGGGTTGCTTTCACCAGGCTAAGAGCTATAATTTTTTAGACAGCTACAGGAGCTGTGATGTCAAAATTAACCTTGATATACCATCCAGGCCTTCACTGCAGGCCTTCGAATAGACTTCAGAGTTCCAGAATAGTTGCAGGGGAGAGATTCTGCAGTTGGATTGCTGTCTAGGAGGGGAGCTGGCTTCCTCCTCTGCCATATTCCCTGGGGTCACTCCCTCCTTTATTCTTACTGGTCTGTGAATACTAATTTACTTTAGATACATTTCTTCCAAATACAGGAATATTTTACTTTAAGTTTGCATTTACCCATCTTATGCACGTTTTTATAGAACTGATAATTATTTAGATTTTTCTTCTCATGTGTTTACAGATTTGACCTATATTTTCCCTCTGTTAAACCTTTTTAGATAAAATCATTATAAGTAAACAAGTCAAACAAAGGATATCAATAAATATAAGAAATGTTGTTTACCCTTCATAGTTTTCACAGATAGGTAAATTAAAACAGCAGAATGGCATCATTTATATCCTTTAACATAGAAAAAAATAGAAAAAAATGATAAAACACAAAATCTGACAAGGCTGTGTTAAAACTGATCTGGTCTAACTTTGTTGGCGGTAGGGTGGAACTCTTCTAGAAAGCAACTAAGCTACACAAATATTTATATCCTTTGTCTCAAAGTTCTTCCAAGACTTTAACAAAATTAAAAAGAAACACCTGCAGGCACAAATACATTCATTGCAGTGCTGTTTATAATTATGAAAAATGGAAACAACCCAAACGTCCAAATAAGAAGAGCATGGCTTAGCCAAACGAGGTACGGTCTTCTCAAGGGAAAGTTCTGAGGCATTTAGGCTGGACACCAGTCCAGAACAAGTCTCAGGCTGCACAGTCCTGTGAGAGCAGGCTGCAGGGGGAGTACCTGCTTGTGATGAGGCTACATGAAAGTCACCTCGGCACATGGCCAAGGACTGTGGGGTGGGGGACATGAGCAGGGACAGAGGAGATGAGAGAGGGAAGTTTATGAGTGAGCCCCCTATGGCTCCAATTTCTATTGTTTTCACAATGTTACTCAGGCAATTAAAAAAAGAAAAAGAAAACAAGCTGGGGATGGCTTAGGGGTAGGAAACAAGCAAGAGTTACAAGTTCACTGTAAAACAACAAAATCTGATTAGAAAACTCCACCAGCCAGTTCTGCAAGTTGATGATGAGAAACCCTGGGTTGGTTGGGGTGCTCTCCTGAACTGGGTGAAGCTCTCAGCAGCACAAGCTGTGGTCCGGAAGACCCCACAGGACTCTGGGGTCCCTGTTTCCTGGAGAGCAATCCGACTCTCACATCATCCTCAACTGCCTATCACTGGTCCTGGGCATGGACCCCTGAGCCAGGACCCTGAGAGTCATTGCAAAGGCCACCTGCTCTGGACCCATCCCTGGTCTTCCCTGGAGACTGAATGACATGAGGCCGTGTCTGTCATTTCTGTTGCCCACATGAGACACTGGGATGAATCTTTTGTTAGAGCCTCACGATTCTTTTCATTGACCTCCAGTGTCCATAGAAATGGGGGGAGAAGGCAGCTCATGTGAGATGCACACTGGTGCCGGCCTGCAGTGGGGGACATTGCATGACGCCTCCTACAAAGCTCACTGCCGACTCTGAGAAACACACTGTGACATCGCGTTGGCAGACAGGGATGCCATCACTCAAAGTCACAGACATCCTGACTTGCAGCCATACGCTCTAGTGAGGGAACGATCTGACCTCTGGTCCAGCTACTCCCACACCCATTGCCAGAAGGGGATGGGAAGGACCCTAGTGTGGGCTCGAATCCCAGCTGTGTGCACCTCCCTTTACAAAGCAGGAGGGTCCTGATGGCACAGCCGAGGGAAAGCCTCTCATGTGCTGAAACAGTCCCTCATCCCCAGGGATGCCAACTCCCTTCGCCTGAAACAAAACCATTAGCTTTCAATTTGCTCAGCCAAGCCTGAAGTTAATCTAGAAAATTTGCTCCATTTTTTTTCTTTTCCTTTCTATTAATTCCTTTTCCTTTTTGTTTTTTAGGAGAAGTTTTAAGAAGGCCTCCTGGACTTTTCCTATCTCTGGTGCAGGAGAGGTCTGCTCATGTGCCAAGGACTTTACAACAATCCACAGTCCACAGGCTTGGAGAACCCAGTGCCGTGGTGTCCTCTCCTCCACCCACACTGCCCCTGAAGCCTTTGCTCATGTTCAGCCCTCCATGGAACTGCTTCTCCCCTACACGTCCCAAAGCCACTCTGTTCCCTTTGGGCTTCAGATGAAATGTCCCCTCCAGGAGACATAGACCCTACAGCAGCCACACTCCACTCGTATGCACACACTTGTCCTCCATTACTCTCCGCCTCTCTTCCCCTTCACAGCACGGTCACAGCTTGTGCTTATTTCATAGTCGTTCTGTCTCCTTGATCTTCTGCTGTTCCCCTCACCCCGATCCTCAGCTGGAGCATCACCTCACAGCAGTTTCTGGGTTATATTCGGTGCTCAGGAAATATGTGTGGAGGCAGGGGCGGCTCAGTCTGTGTTTCTAAATTATGCATGTGGGACAGCAATGTGTAAAGCACAGCCTTGGAATGTTCCCTGGCAGGGAATGCGGCATGGGGTGGGGCTGACTCCCTCGGGCCTGGGTTTGAGACCTGCTTTTGTGTCTAACTAGCTGTGTGATCTCAAACTTCTATCACCCACCTCTGTAAAGTGGGAGTAACACATGAGCAGGGTTAGGAGGGTGGAGCTCAAGGGCAAGGCCGGGGCCGGGTTGGGACAGATCTACCCCAAGATACCCCTTGCCCAGGCTACCTAACGTTACCCCTTGCCCAGGGACCTAACATTAATTAAACACCCACTTTGTGCCAGGCACCATACTAGGCAGCTGGAATGAAGAGATGTATGAAACAGAAACAGAAATGGTCCCCACCCCTGGCAATACTGGCTGAGAGGAGGAGACAGGGACAGAAGCAGGGTCCCAGCACCCTGGGCGTCAGAAAGAAGGGTGGGATGAGAACAGAAAACTAAAGCCCAAACCAGCTTGCAGGGGCAGAGGTGAGTGACGCTTCTCCTGAAGTCATAAGTGCAAGAGTTCTGGAGAAGACAAACCAGGCAAAGGGCAGGGCTTGGCAGAGGCCCTACCACAGGTGGAGGCTGGCAGGGGCTGCGTCGGCTGGAATGGAGAGTGTTCAGAGGAGCATGGCCACCCTTGTTCTGGGCCCTTCTGACCTGGGACCACTGAGCACCTCCACACCGTAGGTGTGGGATCTGGCCACAGGGCCGGGTTGCATGGGGAGCCACTCTTACCTTTGGCAATGCATACTTGGGCAGCTTCATCAGTACAAACTTGTTGCGGCGATAGGAGACGTAGTATTTGGTTCGATTTGCCGACGTTGCCTAATGGGAGGGAAGAAACACATTCAAAGGGGCTTACTTTCCTGTCAAGTCAGATTCTCATGAATGAAAACCACACGTTGCATTCAGCTGGTGAAGATGCCCTTTAACTTTTACCTCTTCTGCTTGAAATGGACAGGCTCCTATTCATCTTTCGAAGCCCCATAGGAAAGGCCTTTCCTCCAGGAAGTCTTCCTCCACTTCCTACAGTTAGAACTAAGCTCTCTTCCCACGCTCTCAGGGCCTTACTCCCCTACATCCAAGGTATGGAACACAATGGACTAAGTTCTGTTCCCCAGATCTTTTAAAAAGGGCACTTTGGTGAGTCACTGGGTGGAAGAGGAGACAGGCCAAAGATAAATTCAAGTCACAAAAAGTGACGACCAAACCACTAGGTATCATAAGCAAAGCCAGAGATAACACTTCCTGAGCACTGCCACGTGACCGGGGGGCTTTACCCTGGACAGTTCATTTGACCCCATAATAAACAGGGGAAATGGTGGCACAGAGCTCAGAACAACTTGTCTCCTAGGTAGTAGAAGAGCCAGGAGAAGAGAGGCCTCTGCTCTCCAGGGGACAAGGGAAGGAGTAGGGGCTGGCTAGAGGGAGCGGAGAGGGTGGAGGCTCCCGAGGGGACAGTTTCCTGCAGCTGCCAAGTCTCACTGTGTGTGTGTGTTGTGAGTGTGACTGTGTGCCTTTCACGTGTGTTCTCTATGTGCGTCATGTGGTCATGTGTCCTGTGCACGTGTGTGTGGGTCATATAGGAATGCGTGTGTGCACGTGTGTGTCCTGTGTGTGTGTGAGTGTGTGCACAAGGCAGCATGGTGCAGTGTGTAAGAGCACAGGCACAGTCTGGGTTCAGATTCTAGCTCTGGCCCCTACGTACATATAAGCCATGGTGAGTGAAATGGGATGAGAGTGTCAGAGCCCGCCTGATGAGTAGTGGCAGGGACTAGCGTCTGGGACGTCAATTCCCCATAGGAATCACAAGGGTGTTGCATGTGGTGACTGTTGCACACCAGCAAATACACAGCAGCCCCTACCACAGGCCAACTGCAGGCTGTTGTTTGTGACAAGGCTTCTCTGAAAAATTCTACCTGTGAAGGCAGGGACTGTGAGGTCTTGGGGTGGTCTGGCCCTCTGTGGCTCCTGAGCAAGCAGTGCTATGATGCTGGACACACTGGGGACCTGAGAGCTCAGAGAAAGAGGTGCGGGAGGACGGCAGGCTTCCTGGAGGTGGCAGTGCTGCAGCTTGGGGGTTCAGGGGGATGCAGAAGACAGTGGCTGGGAGGTCTCTGCCCCATCTCAGAGCCACGTCTGGTATGGGATGAGCTCCAGGGAGGCGGGAGGGCAAGACCAGGCTTGACCTGCCTCGACACCCTTCCAGATATTTGTGTCTCTGCAGAGGGCACTGGGAGACAGAGCAGATGCTTAGCAGTGAGGCAGCAACCAACTGGTGAGAGCAAGGCCGGGACGTTTAACTTAAGCAGTGTCACCTGTGGGATCTGGCAGGGCCTTTCCCTCAAAGCGAGCAGCTGACCCCTGCTGGGGGCCTTCCTCGTGGGAAGGGGTGGTCACACCTATTGTACAGATTAGTAAACAGGGGCCCAGAGGCGGGTCCGGGTCTGATGAATTGCTCCCTCCTGGGCTGGGCCACTCTCCCGCTGAGTAGCTTCAACAAAGGAGCTGGCTGAGCTGGCCAAGCTGGCCGAGCGAGAGCCATTCAGCACCTTGACTCCAGGACTTGTGGACAGGACATGGCTATGTCCAACGCTAGGACCTCCCCAGGCCCTCAGTGGCTTTGGGAAGGGCCCAAGTACCTCTGCTAGACCAGGGTCTTGCTGGATCCTCACATAGGCAGTAGCTACCTCCTCTCTGGGCCTGCCTGTACCAGGGCAGGGAGGGGGCCCCAGGCTTGCCCAGGGTGACCAGCTTATTGGTGGAGGGGCTGGACTCTGCTGACTCCCGAGACACTGCCCTTTCTGCCAGGGAAGGCTGAAGATGTGGCCGTGGGGAAAGGACAAAAGAGGAACCTGCTGTTCCCATCAGAAGGTGACTGGGGCCTCCCGCTCAGGCTCAAGGACAGGAGCGAGGAGCCAGGTGCCTGCTTCACATCTGGGGGCCACTGGCCTCAGGAAGGGGAACTGCCCAGTTAGGAGCAGAGTATTCTGGAGGGTCATCTGGTAGGGCAATTAGTTTTTCTGAGCCTCAGTTGTTTTTTTTTGTTTTTTGTTATTAGAGACCCAGTCTCACTTTATCGCCCTCAGTAGAGTGCTGTGGCATCATAGCTCACAGCATCCTCCAACTCCTGAGTTTAGGCGATTGTCTTGCCTCAGCCTCCCGTCTGAGTCTCAGTTTTATCTTCAGTAAAATGGGGCTGATACAAATACATGAAAGCCCATGATAAGGCCATTTGTTTATGGGCATCTGTCACAGAGAGGGGGCTTGAGAGACACACTATCATAGAAGCTGGGAGGATGGACCAGGTGACCACAGGGCATCTCCCCTCTAAGACAGATACAGCAGGGCTATCCAGCACCAGTATCTGTTTCCAGCAACAGAAACACCCTTTAGGACAGAGGCACAGTGGGTCTGAGAATCATAGAGGCCATAGGTCCTTGCTGCCACAGAGCAGGAGCAATAGTCCCTGGACCCCCAGCGCTGCCCCTGGTGGGCAGTTTCACAGGCCGTGACACTCAGACTCACTTCCTGTGCATTAGTGGGGAGGAAGGGCTGGGTGGGCAAGGCTGCTCCAGCTTAGCCCAGGCTCATGGGTCTGCTGAAGACCAAGACAGAAGGAGGCCCATGGTGGGGGTTAGGAAAAGCTTTTCCCTGCAGTTATTGAGAAAGATGGAAACTAGGACAGAAACTGGACAGACCCAGTGGCCCCTATGGCCATGCCACACGCAAGCATTGAGCCTGTTGTTGTTAGAGTTGTTCCCCCTCACTGAACAGAGGAGTGACCCCATCTGCTCAGCCATGGGTGTGCTCCTGGGGTCTCAGGCTGGAGGCTCTGACAGGCCAGACCATCCAATGTCTGGAAACCGCTCCGCACAGCACATGGTCGCCAGCAGAGTTGACACTGTCTTTGCTCTGATGCTCAGTGGATACTTGCAGAAACCCAGTGCTGGGAGAACAGGTAGGGAGTGCAGACCTGAACCAGCCCCAGACTGCCTGCATCTGGTGCAGGGCCAGCAGCGGTCAACAGTGAAGAATGACACACAGGGCCTGGGCTGTGACAGGGAAAGCACCAGCTGGAAATGCTCCCAGGAGGCAGCCTGTGGCCTGAGGTGGAGGCAGAGGTCAGGCACGACTTCCTGGAGGAGGTGGCGGGTGATTATTTTAGAGAAGGAGCAGGAATTAGGTAGTGAGGGGGGTGCAGGCATCCAGGCGCAGGAAACACAGGCAGATGCCGAGGGGCTGGACACGGGCAGGGCTGCAGGTCAGGGCTGGGTGCTGGTAGGAGCCTCAGTCTGGCCAGCTCTAATGGGGGCCAGAATGCCCACTGCCTGGTCCAGGCTTAAACTTGGCATATGCCAAGTATGGCGGGAGGAGCAGGTAGGGAAGTTGGGGACCACTGAGGGCCTTCTGGGGAGGGAGCACCCAGCAGTCACCCTCGAGGGGTTTTCTCAGTGGGGAATTTGGATTTGTCTCACGGGGTCCCAGAGAACAGAGCAGGGACCAGCAGACGGGAGTCAGAGGAAGCAGTCTGGGGGCCAGAAGGAACTAATGACTTGAGCAGTCCAGGAGAGGGCCAGGCTGTTTTGGGAGGGGGTGAACTCCTCCTCTCTGGAGGTGATCAAGAAACTGTGTGACTAGTTGTTGACTAGAGTTCCTGAATCAGCACAGACCACGTGGGTGCCAAGGGTAGTCCCACTAAATGGGGACAAATGGGCTTAGGTTTGGGACACCTGTGGTGGGGAAGTTGCCGGCAGAGGGAGGTGGAGCTGGCAGCATCCCTGAGATGCTGTGCTAGTGAGTGGGGGCTGTGGGAATACCTACTGCCAAGTCACACTTGAAAGTAAAACAGCAATTTTATCACCTCCCTCTGAGCGACTCCATTTCCCCTGAGTGCTTACCATGTCACCCCTTGCCAATTTCCAGAAGCCCCAGAAGCAACCTCACCTTAAAGAAGATGTAATCATCCTGCACGGTCAGAGAGCCGTGGTCAATGGGGTCTGCAAACGGGGCAGTCAGCGCCTTCTCAGAGCAGTTGTGGATCTGGCAGGTGATGTACCGAAAGCCTACAGGACAGAAGCCCAGCCCGTTCAAGCTGCAGCCACAGAGGGGGTGGGACACAGCCTAAAACAACACATTCTAACACCTTTGCTGTTGGCTTTGAGGGTCTAGATTATAGGGCTGACCCTGCGACAATATCCACTGCTGAGCAGGGCCACTCTGGCCCAGGTGCACTCTGAGATGAGTCCTCTGACCACAGGCAGGAGTTGGTGACCATCATCAGAGGGAGGGTCAGTGGGGGCAGCTCACAGTGCCCCCACATGGCTGGCTCCCCACATGACTGCCTCCTGGAGTTCCTGACCAGGGGCAGAGATGGGTGGGGACTCACATGGTCCTCCCCCCTCTAACTTTAAGTAAATGCTTCTGCCCTTTTCCAGATATTTACAGCTGAGCAAAATCAAATGCAGGCTTTACCTGCTGGCTGCTGTGTTTCCAGCAAGTGCTTCTGTTTCCCCAGCATTTCGGTGCTCTGACTAATTGACAGGGTGGGGCTGGAGCTCTGGTGCCTTAAGGAAGCTCTTCTTTCCAGTTTGTGAGCCAAAGGAGGGATTTAATCACAGGGACCAAAGTCTAGGACACCAAAGGAAGGACACTGAGCCCACAGAACCTTTTGGTGGCCTGGCAGTGTGAAGAGTGGTTAGAAGTGGGGGCTTAGGGACCAGGTGCATAATTCTAACTCTGCAGTTTACAGTGGGGTGGGCTCAGCTTCTGGTTCCTCTGCCTCATAATGGGATATATCTATCCCCCAGGATGTCAGGAGGAGCCTGCCAGACAGTGGCACCCAATAGGCATGACACTGGCCATGGCCATGCCACTGCCAAGCCCCTCCCATACCATGTCTATGTTCTATTTAATGGCTGGTCACCCCCATGCTCAAAGCCTGAATTTCCCACAGTGGATCTGCCTGGCTGGAGTCCTGGTGGGGAGCCTCACTCAGGGCCAGACTGAGTCGGCACCCACAGACTCACCCACTCACGCATCCAGGCCCTCATCACTCACCCCACCATGGTCAGGCTCTCACTCTCCCAGGCCCTGTGCTGACAAGATATGTGAAAGTTGTGTGCTGGGTACAAAGTCCTGACCTAGCCTTGGTCAATTTCTGTGGTGTAAACACTCCATGTGGCCTGATGAGCTGCCTGGATGGAGTTACTGGGATGAAAAATTGGCACCAGGGGCCTGTGCCAGCTGCTGCTCTGGAGAGAGGCAGACTGGCCACAGTCACATGGTGGAGGGAGGGTAGGAGTGTCTTTGAGTCTCTGGCACATGTTATTTTGTGACGTTTTGCACCATGGTCTATAGGAGGTGGTGGTTCTTACACCTGGCTCAGAGCTTATTCATTTATTTAGCAACCCTGCTGGGGACACAGAGGCAAATCAATAGCCCACCTAATACTCCAAGGGTTCCAGGACCCAGGGACTATGCTGAGCTGAGATGGGGGAGCCCAGAGCAGGGCCTGGAAGGGTGGGTGGGAACAAGGGGAAGGAACCCAGGATGGGAAGGTTGAGGGGAGCATTCCCAGCAGGGGTGAGGAGAGCTGTGAGCTCATCTAGGGAATGACCTGAGTGGGCCAGGCTGACCAGAGGGGAGTGTCAGAGGGACAGGTAGAGGGACCCCAGGCCCTGAGTGCTGGGCCACCATGCTTGACCAGACTTTATGCCCATGGGACTCCTGGGCTGGGGAGGCCAGGGCAGGGAGGTTCCAGTTTTGGAGGAGGCCCCATTCCTCGGCAAGTCAGTCCTGGGGCCCCTCACATAGGGATTGCAGCTGCTGGGAAGAGGCCCTTCCTCTCTGGGGGCAGCTATGGGAACTGCGGGGGGTGGGGGTGGGGGAGCAGTTCTGAGGCCTGCTTCCTCAGGCCCCGCAGGTTGGGGCCTGTTTATCCTGTTGGTGGAAGGCCGGGGTATCACTAAGACAAGGAGTTGCCCCCACGCTGCCTGCGAGGGCTGGGGATTCTGAGTTTGGTGAAGGCTCGGGAGGATGGGGGGATGCCGGGCTGGGGCCTGTGACCCCACACAAACCTGGACCTTCTCTGAGCTTTGTTCTCCTGGTTATCAAAATGGAAACTATAAGACCACCTGCCCCACCTGCCAGCAGCATGTCAGGGCTCAGTAAAGAAAGAGCTGGGGTTTAGACGTGGCAAGTGGCTATCACCCACCCTCCAGCAGGCTCTGTCCACTGGGAATCCACCCGTGACGGCCCCATGCTGAATGAGGTGCATTTACTCATTTACTATCATTATCCCATTTTATAGCTGAGCAGACTTTGGTAGGTTGCCCAGGATCCCACAGTAGGCCAGTGGCTGGTCACAGATGCCAGCACTTCTCTGCTAATGAGACTGGACCCTGCCTGTCACAAGTCTGGCCCTCACAGGTTGTCCTCAGAGGACGTTCTGTGCAGGGGACACCTCCCACTTATCACTACACCTTCCATCCTCCCAGCACAGGCTCTGGGCTCTCTGTGACACCAGCTGGCTGGGTCAGTGTGCCCAGGCTCCTGTCCCTCCCTTGCCCCTCTATGTGCCCAGCAGTGGAGTGGGGGCAGGGTGAGTGGGAAGCCCTCAGGGGTGAGTAGGGTCTGGACAAATTGACCTCTTAATAGGTTTTTCCCCTGGAGCAGAGCCCTTGACTTCAATATCCCTGGCTGGAAAATAAGCACATTTAAAATTATGCTACATCATAACACAGTGAGGTCAGCTTAACAGGGCAAGCTGCGAGGATGCACGATGAAACACAGCACTGCCAAGCCATGCTGGAGACAAGGGGACTCAGGGACACCTAGTGCCCACACCCTGCTAGGCTCACCTCCTCCAATGTCCTGGGCCTCCATGTGGACCAAGTCGGGATCAGTGTCCACCCCAGACACAGCCCTGGAAGAGAAGACCGAGGTTGGTGCTGGAAACAGAGTTGCTGTACCCATGGCTGCTCCTGTATCCCAGGTGGCCACGTGGCTGCTTCTGCTCTGTGGGTCCTGGGGACACTGTCTCCCCAAAAGACAGAGCCTCTGCTTCTCCCTTATGGCGAAGCTGGCATCCTTCCAGTCACGATACTGTTTATGAAAACTTTGTCTTTCACAGCTTTTGTTTTTGATCATCAAAAAGCATCTCAGGAGGCAGACAGGCCTGGGGCTGCCACCCTAGTTCTGTAAATAAAGAAACTTAGGCTCAGAGGTACAAAGTTGCACAGCTCTAAGTGGCTGAGCAGGATGCGAGCCAGGACCCGCCTCCGGGCTCCTGCTCTGCCTCTTACCTCACTGCTCAGTGGTCTCCCCGCATTGAGCAGCTCTGTGCTGCCCCCAGGGACTCGCCCCAGTCCTCCTGGGGGTGAAGACTCTGGGGAGAGGAGGGCACCTCCTCCCACAGCACTGGACAGCGTGTCCCCTCCCCCGGGTTGGCCTGTACATTTCGAGGCAGATGCCTTCCTGTGCATTCACAGGCCAGGAAGGTTCTGTGACTTGTGGGGGTGACAAAGCATTTCATAGATAAAAACAGTGAGGCTGAGAAAGCTAAAGGCATTTGTCTTTTATCCCACAGAAACCTGGGGCTTCCTTCCTCCCTCCCCTCCTTTCTTCCTGGTGTTTGGCCTGAGCAGGGGGAGGAGGAGAAGTGGGGAGCAGATTTGGGGGATCTAGAGTTTCCATCAGTCTGCCCGACATACAGCCTGAGTGACCAAGCGGCCACTGAACACTCATGTCTGGAACGTAGGTGGCATTTAACACCAAGCCCTTGGAAAGGTTCACCTAGGGGACAGGTGGGCGTATCTTGAGGTACACAAAATAGTCTTCTGGCTGGGATACTCAAGAGTAGCTCTCTAAGCATCCCTCCTGCTGTGGCCTGGGCTGTCTCCAGACCTGCGTTCACTCACTTCCTGGAAGACAGATGAAGGGCACTGACCATCCTGCCTCTTTCATCCCTATGTCCTCAAGGCCAAGTAGATAGAGGTCACTGGGCAAGTGGTGGTGGAGGACTGCTCCATTGTGCTGGGGAGCTAAATGGCACTTACGATAACTCCTATCAGCTCTGAGCCCCACAGTTTAAAAGCACCTTCAAAGACATGAGTCCAACTCAGCTAACATGTGTGTCGGGCCAAGTGGCACAGAGCATGCTGTGACAAACCAGCCGAGTGTCCTACCTTCACAATATACAGTCAGGAGCTGCATGGGGACACTGGGTAGGGGCCTGGTTTGAGAGAGGGCTTCCAACCTGGGTTTGGACTGGCTGAGCTCCCTTTCTAGCTCTGTCATCCCTGTGCCATGGGGTTGTGAGCCGTCACGACAGCTGCCTGAGTCCAGGGTCCATGCCCACAGGGTGGTGTGATAACACCTGTCGCACCGAGTTTCTGCAAGGCTCTGAGCCTCTGGTGCCCTGTACGCAGGCCTGAGAAGAACAGAAGATGTGTGCTAGGGTCACAGCTCCATGGGCTGGTCCAGTGGGGAGGGTAGGAACGAGTCCAGCCTCAGCTGGCATGGGGCCTGGCACCCAGAAGGGGAGTGTATATTTTTGGAATGAAAGGAAACTTGGCTGGGATCACAGCCAGGGTTTCCCAAACCAAGCACAACCTCCTGGATTTTATTGCACCCGTGTGTCTATCTCCTGCTTTCCTTACACTGAAAACTGCCATGTGCTTTAGCCTCTTCTGAAGAGGAGTACCCAGAACTCATGGCTTTGAGAAGCTGGCCATGTTCCTTACCATATTCTTTCCAGCCAATGTGACTACTAAGGATCACTTACCCAACCCTTCTCAGGGACTCTTTGCCCAAGAGCAAATGGAGCCTGAGGATGAGGAAGCTGTATCTTGGATCACCAGTTACTGAGTGCCCAGGGCGGATGCCTCCCCGTAGCCCATGTGCAGGCCTCTGAGAAGTCCCAGGCAGAGTGCCTGGCCCCACGGCCCTACCCTCTTGACAGTCTCAACATCTCTCCCCACCTGCTTGGCCCAGAGCCCATTTGCTTCACCTCCTACAGGTACCTGGTTCACCCAGGTGGCCTGATATGAAACCAGAGGGACAGGGGAATTCCATAAGAGGATCTGAGCCATATAGGCACCCGTGGATATACGGCGTGACGGGAGCCAACTTCCCGAAGTCCATTTAGATTTCAAACCCTGGAGTGCCAGCATCAATCACTCTCACCCTAGGTAAAGAGCTCTCAACTGCAGGTGAAGTGTTGATTTAGGCTTCTGTGAATAGACCATTTATAAGCTCCCTGGAAGGGAGGTCTCCTGCTTGACACTTCTCTCTCTTCTGAATAAAGACAGACATTGTTCCCTTTACCAGGAGGCCCTCAGCCAGGCAGATGGAATTTCAGCTGACAATCCATCATCCCTAAAGTGGGCTAATGACACCTGGCCTGTCCCCCAGCTCACTCACCCCCTTGTTCATTTGCTCACTCACTCACTCATTCCCTCACTCTTTCATCACTCACTTATTCACTGACCCACTGATTCACAACACTTGCTCATTCATTACCCACTCATCCACTCACCACTCAGTCACGCATCACTCACTCACGAGTCACTCACTCACTCTCCACCTTTCACCCCATAAAGTTGATACCCTCGGACTCCTGCTCTGACCTCTTTCACAGGGCCGTCTCCCTGTGTGCCTGCGAGGCTGTGGGTGAGCACAGGTGCACGGGAGGCCTGGGCCTCGTGCCTGTCCCAGGGAGCCCTGGAAGACCACATGAGGCGGAGCCCAGTTCCCTGTAAGAAATGGCGCCTGAGACTGGAATGTCTTCTTGCTGGCTGAGATCTCCAAAGGTGGTCCCACGCTGGGAACTCTGCTTGGATAACAAGCCTAAGGATGAACCCCACCCCACCTCCGGCAAGCAGCCCTGGAGAAAGGGCAGAGCTCTGGGATGAGGGATTGATTTTCACTCCAATTATGTGGGGGCAGCTCTGGTGGCAGCAGCTCTGGCTGTGGTGGGAAGACCCCTCCTTCTCCTATCAGAGGCCTGGGCTCCCCTGTGTGCCCCACCTGGGGTGCGCACGGGGCTGATGGGAGAGAAATTTGGAGGCTTTTCTGTGGGTGAGCATGAAGCCAAGTGGGGAAGTGGACACAGGAGCCCCAGGTGAAGGGCAGGCAGCCAGACTACGGGGCAAAGCGGTCCATGGCAAGCCTGCTGGGCACAGTCAAACGAGGGTCACTGCACAGGGCTGCTGCTTAGAGGCAGTGAACAAGAACAAGAACAAGAACAAGAACAAGTGCTTCGTCCTCTGTGAGCCTCAGTTTCCCCCTCTGTAATGTGAGGGGAAGACAATCGTGGGCTGCTGTGGGGATTCCGTAGGACGATGCATTTAGACTCTCCACCCACAGCCAGGGGGCTCGTTAGCATTCAAAATGTGGCACCTGAGGGGTGGCTGCTGTTACAATTTTGTTCTGGCCATGGAGAGCCTAAGGGGAGGGTGAGGGCAAGTGCCCATGTGACCCTGAAGGCAGCAAGCAGCAGAGAGCACCTCAGGCTGCCCCTGCCCCCCTGGTAAGCCCAGTGTAATGAGCGTGCTTCGTAAACCGTTAACGAGTCCGAGCTTCAGACAGAACACGGGGCTTTGGCAATTCCCACTGTCAGTTCAAGGAGAAAGAGCTCTTTGGAAATGCTGTCAAAACAGCATTATTCACTGCTTACAACAGGGGGACCCCATCACCACTGCTGTCACCACATTCCAGGAGAGATCCCCGGGCCCTAGTGGCCAAGCGTCTGGTACGATTATCTCTTACATATAACAACTCTGAGCAATTTGAGAAACTTAGGGGAAGAAATAATTTGATTTGTCTGAGATAATAACATATTTGAATTATGGCCAATGGCCCTTTTAGCATCTGCAGGCCGGTTTCTCTCTCTGCCTGGAGGGGCCTCCATGAACCTGGCCAGCCCCGGGCCGCTGAACTCGGCCAATTCCTCAGACTGACACAGCTCCAAAATCCCACCTCCTTGCCCTGCTCACCACCTCTGGTGAGCCCTTGGGGGCCCAAGCATTCCCTCCCTGGGAGCACTGGCTCTTGGCAGCTGACAGCAGTGACAAGGCCAGTGATTGATGGCAGCACTCTGGTTTCTAATGAAGGAGTTGGACCCTCCATGGATAACCCATGAAGACATGGCCATCAGGTTCTCCCATGACCAAAAGCACATGTCTCAGGGCCAACGTTCCAGAAGAGACACCAAGATTTCCCTCAGCCTGTGCGTGTCACAGGAGCTAGTCCCCAGCTGTGCCTGGCTTGAAGTTGGATGTGAAGTGGGGGAGGGAAGGGAGCCCTGTCACGGGTCTTCCCTGCTGGAGAGACAGGGCTGCGGCTGGTGTGCAAGGCCTATGCAAGAGCTTTTTGCACAAATGAGATAAGGAAGAAAAAGAGCAGGGCTGGGTGTGTGTGTTTGTGCACAAGTAAGAGGGAGGTTGTGGGAAGAGCAAGCATCTCAGAAAGCAGGTTAGCCGGCAGAGTGCATGTGGTGGCCACAGTGGGCTCAGAGCCTGCTGCCACCTGGGACCTCAGCAAGCACTGGTCCTCCACCACCCTCAGCTACACCTCCAACCAATACTGCTTAGGGAAAGCAGAGTTTCCTCACTAGTGCCAGTGAGACAGAGGCCACCCCCAAAGGGTCCCATAAGACAGGAAATGAGGAGCTGACACCCGTGGCTCTGAACGCAGGGCTCAGCTTGGCCTTTGCCTGGGCTGGAAGTCCCCACCCCACCTGTACCCATACCCTGTCCCTGGCTTTGGTCCTCAGTAGGCTGGTCAGGGAGCATGTCTGGGGCGCCCCAGTGGGGGCTCAGCAGTGAGAGGGAGGCCAGGCATCATCAAGGTGGGGAGGGGGCACAGAGGTTGCACCAAAAGGCAGTACCACCCATAGGGGCAGCTATTCAGGGGCTGGGCCCGGACCTGGGTAGGAGGAGGGAAGTGCGTTGTGCCAGGCTTGTGCATATCAGTACCTCTTTCAACTGAGGAGGATCCAGCTGTGAGGGGTACAAATGTGGCCCAAGGGACACTAATCCCTGGAGCAGTTAGAATAGCTCTAGAGGGTGCAGGGGTGGGGAGAAAGGCAAGATGAGGTGGAAACTGCAAGCTGGGGGGTGGCTGGGAAGACAAAAGAGAGCTGCTGGCCCTTGGGGGCTGACCATGCCCTTGGGGCTCTCACAGTCCTAATGGGGAGTGCTCTCACCAGAACACGTGGTCTTTGGTCACTCGGTCCTGCAGAAGTGTCCACTTCTTCCCCAAGTCAGATGACATGTACAGCTTTAGAACAGAAGAAAGAGAAACAGAGGTTTGGTCATGCCTTTAGGAACAGTCGTTAACAGTCGTTGGCTAGACAGTGACTTCCCTGCTATGCTAAATTCCCCAGGGGGTGGGCCAGTCTCCTCTAACAGAAACATAGGGCCTGTGACCATGCTGTAGGTACCCACCAACCCATAAGAGTCTGAAGATCCGTGGGGAAGAGCCACTCCCACCCCCAGGCCAGCTGGTTCTCTAGGGGCCTCCCAGAAGAAGCATCTGAGCCTTGATGAATGGCAGGGGCATTACAATACCTGTGTATATGGGGTGTCTAGGAGAAG